AGCAGAATGTTTATCAACCTTGCAAATCACACCAAACTAATGCCCCGTTTACACTGCCATATAAACCAGATTATTAAAGCAGATAATCCATATTATCTGCTTTGAACTGGATTATATGAATCTACACTGCCATATAATCCAGTTCAAAGCAGATAATCTGGATTTTATTTGGCAGCGTAGAAGGGGCCTGAGAGAGGTAACTAATACGTTAGAATAATAAATCAGGATTCCTTTAACAGATCGGAGAACTAGGCTTGTACTTACAAAGCAACATATGACTTGGTAGTGGTTGTGTGAAAAGGATCTAGAGGTCTTACTAAACCACAAGACAAATATGATATACAATTCATAATGGGAGGTGCACTTCTAAGATGCATCAAGATGATGATGATGATGATGATGATGATTATATTTATTTATACCCCGCTTGATCTCTCCCGAAGGAGGACCCTTCCACACGGCCATATAATCCAGAATATCAAGACAAAATGCCACTGTATCTGCTTTGAACTGGGTTATCAGAGTTCACACTGTTATATATTCCAGTTCAAAGCATATAACGTAGGATTTTATTCAGCTGTGTGGAAGGGCTTGGAGACTCAAAGCACTCATAGAGTGCTATAGTGCCCAGATTAGGGGAAATGATAGTAGTGAACCAATTTATTCCGCTTTGGTCATATCTCCCCTGTATTGTTGTGTCCAGCTTTGGGTGTCACAGCTTAAGAATTGACATGCTAAAACAGGTCCAAAACAAGCTATTGAAGGGTTTAGAAGCCAACCCTATGAAGACTGCTTAGGGATTTAGATACAGAGAAGATTAAGAGTGATATAATAGTTAACTTTGACTATCCTGACAGTCACATGGAAAAATGTTTTGTACTGTTAGAAGATAGAACACAAGCCAATGGTTTCAAATTAGAAGAAAGGGGATTCCAAATACACTTAGCAGGGAGATCAGTTTTATATAAAATGGGATTGAGACTATCTTCAAGGAGTGGCTAAAAAATGATAAAAGGGTGTAGAAAAGGGATTCTCTTTAAAGGAGTTTGGAACAAGCCAGTGTCCTGGGATATTTTTTTATCAGTTTCATTTTCTGCACCAATACTAACTAACTTTTCTTACTATTGTTTTTATTATTGCTTAGGTCTAGTGGTTTATTTTATTTATACTATATCAAATACTTTGTTTTTCATTGATATATTAGCCTGTTGGAGAAGAATTTAATTTAAAAAAAACCAGTGGGAAATAGACAGATAAACGAAATCTCCTCTTTGAGCTGATTAATTTTGTCCCATATTGGAGCCTTCTGTAGTTCCTTTTGAGTAAAGAAAATGCTGCTGGAAAATCCAATCACAAATATTTTAGAGTGCATCTCGTTTGGCTCTCAGGCCCCAAACAGTCGTAATTTCCTAGGTTGTGTGCTAACTATTTATTTATCGTGTCAGAAGCAAATCGAGGGTACAGTTGTAATGTATTTCAAAACACAAACTAAGTTAAAAACTTGGCATTATACTAAATGTCAGTTGACCAATAGCTGGCCACTTGGAGTGCCTCTGGTGTTGTTATAAGAAGATCCTCCATTCTGCATGTGGCAGAGCTCAGACTGCATTGTAATAGGAGGTCTATGGTTTGCTCTTTTCCATACATACGCACCAAGGTGAAAGAATAAAGTGCAAACACTGGGTTGCAGTTAAACATTAAAAAAAAAACCAAGATTATGGCAACAGGATTGATTGGTAACTGGCAAATAGGGGGAGAAAATGCAGAGGCAGTGACAACCTTTGTATTTCAAGGTGCAAAGATTACTGCAGACGCAGACTGCAGCCAGGAAATCAGGAGACGCTTACTCCTTGGGAAGAGAGCAATGACCAATTCTCAATAAAATAGTGAAGAGTAGAGACATCACACTGGCAACGAAGATCCGCATAGTCAAAGCAGTGGTATTCCCTGTAGTAACCTATGGATGTGAGAGCTGGACCATAAGGAAGGCTGAGCGAAGGAACTTTTGAACTGTGGTGCTGGAGGAAAATTCTGAGAGTGCCTTGGACAGCGAGAAGATCCAACCAGTCCATACTTCAGGAAATAAAACCTACTGTTCATTGGAGGGAAGGATTTTAGAGGCAAAGGTGAAGTACTTTGGTCATGTAATGAGGCGACAGGAAAGCTTAGAGAAGACAATTATGCTGGGGAAAAAGGAAGGAAAACGGAAGAGGGGCCGACCAAGGGCAATATGGATGGATGGTATCCTTGAAGGGACTGGCTTAACTCTGGAGGAGTTGGGGGTGGTGATGGCTGACAGGGAGCTCTGGCGTGGGCTGGTCCATGAGGTCATGAAGAGTCGGAAGCGACTGAATGAATAAACAACAAATACTCACATGTCATGGACTCCACTTTGTAGCCCCATTTCTTAAGGTTGGCTCTGCATCTCATGGTGCCAGACCGCAGTCTGTTCAGCACCCCTCAAGTAGCCCAGGAGAGAGTCCCTCATTCAGTATCAGCCATGGATTGAGGTTCCAGGTGTATGCTAAGGCTTCATCTACACTGTAGATTGAAAGGAGTTTAGCACTATTTTAACCTGGAAGTTGTGGTTTTATAAGATCTTTAGCCTTCTCTTCCAAACTTACATGATTTCATAGCACTGAGCCACAGAAGCTAAAGTAATGTCAAAACTGCTTTCAGTCTACAGTGCAGATGCAGGCTAGGCTCTTCCCATTAAGTCTCTTAACCTTCTGGAAGATCCAACTTGGTCTTTACGCAAACGTTTCCTATTGTGCCAATTTAAGCTCAAGTTATTTGTGGCAGTTTATCCGTCTGCAGCAAGCATCACATCTATACAATTGGAACAGATATCAATATTGGAACTGCTTCATTCCAGAACAAAGGACAGGCATTTGCATTGTTTGGAGTTTATTTACCTGCCATCAGCTGAGTACTTGACATCCGCATTGTTATGGTTTGGATGTGAAAGCTCACAGGGAACATTTTAGATGATTCTAGTGAAATACAGCTTAATTTTGGAGGGAGAATCACTGTTTTATTTTGTGCTTGCCTTCTTGTAATGTTATGGAATATTACATTGGCACCTGGGACATTTAATGCAGTCAGGGTCACCTGTATCTCTTGCATTTACACTGAAGGAAATTCTCTTTCATTTTAGTATTGCTGATATAATAAAACGGTAAATTTAAAAGATACAGGTGACCCTGTCCTGCACTGAATGTTTGAATCCTGCATGCGAGCTTCATAGTAAGTCAACCTAGAACTGGTAGAACTTGCTTCCAAGTAAACATTTTTTATGATTTGGCTGCAAGTTTAGATAAGTTAATAAATTCTTTAGTCCACACTTTGTTTAGAGAAGATAGTAATTCCTTTGTGCTGAGGTGTGGAGATAAGAGTACACTGTGGGATGCCCTTGTAGTATTGGATGTTATCTTTTTGCTGTGATATAAAATACTTGAACCATCAAAATGCCCCTTGACAAATTGTAAAGCATTACAATGTACCAGGTCTAATGTTTCTGAACTATTGAATGGGCATTGTATTGGATGGTTATTGGCAGCCATGCTTTGTATGTCTGCACTGTTACCATATAAATCAAACTAATTTTAGCATAGGACTATTTTTAGCACAAGGCTAGTCTTAATTTCTCATCCGCATCAGTGCTAAAGTTAGTTCCTCCCTTTCTCCGGTAACTTTCCCTTTTCCCTGTTGGGTATTTGAACACCCAAAATACATTATAACCCTTGAAGCCACAGGAAATATGTTCCTGAACTTATAGTGAACCCCATTCAAATGAATAAAAGTGAACCCCATTCAAATGATCAATATCTGCCAAAAGTTACCATAGAGTTGACATGGAGCTCCTTAAAAATCTTAGGGAGGCTAGGTTCTCCCAGTTGATCCTGTCATGACTTCCAGTTGAAGCATATCATAAAATTGCTTGGAGAACTTAGAATATTCCTAGAAAGGACATAACACCTATTAAACACCTAAACTGCAAGTACAGGCACAACAAAAACAATTTAAATAGAATAAACCATTAGAATTAGCAAAACAGTTCTCCATAGTGCCAGAGATAATGTAATCATTTCAGTAATCATTTAGAGGCGGCTAAAAAAGCCAATGGGATTTTGGCCTGCATAAATAGGAGTATAGTGTCTAGATCCAGGGAAGTCATGCTACCCCTCTATTCTGCCTTTGTCAGACCACACCTGGAATATTGTGTCCAATTCTAGGCACTGCAATTTAAAGGAGATATTGACAAGCTGTCCAGAGGAGGGCAACCAAAATGACCAAGGATCTGGAGAACAAGCCCTATGAGGAGCGGCTTAAAGAGCTGGGCATGTTTAGCCTGCAGAAGAGAAGGCAGAGAGGAGACATGATGGCCATGTATACATATGTGAGGGGAAATCACAGGGATGAGGGAGCTGGCTTGTTTTCTGCTGCTCTGGAGACTAGAACGCGGAACAATGGCTTCAAACTACAAGAAAGAAGATTCCCCCTGAACATTAGGAAGAACCCTTTGACTGTGAGACCTGTTCAGCAGTGGAAGTCTTTGGCCATCCAGCCTTAAACAAAGGCTGGATGGCCATCTATCGGGTGATTTGAATGCGATTTTCCTGCTTCTTGGCAGAATGGGGTTGGACTGGATGGCCCATGAGGTCTCTTTTAATTCTATGATTCTAAAAGAATTGAGAAAAAGAAACCAAGTTAAAAAATTGCAATGTTCTAATTCTGTACATAGTCTTACATTAAAATCTTAATTTTGCATGATTTTTAGAAATAATTTTGCTGGAGTAAATATATGAATAACTTGCCTTAAATATTTCATTGTTAAAATCGTATTCTAGAGTCTTTTCTTTTCCAGGGAAAATATGCTCTCAGGAGAAATGGGAAAATGCTTCCACCCCAAGCTTTCTTTCTTTTTCCCTCTTTTAGGTGGCCTTGACACCTCTCGTTCCATAATATCCTCAATGCTTGTTTTCTTTTAACTTTCCCAGGTGCTTTCTCACAACCTGTACACTGTGCTTTGCATCCCCCATGATCCTGTGGCCCTGGAGGAACATTTCAAAGATGATGATGATGGTCCAGTATCAAGTCAAGGATACATGCCATATCTCAACAAATACATCTTGGACAAGGTAAACATATGTTCCATAGTCTGGAAAATTATCCTTTAAAGGTAGTATACAAACTATTACAAGGTGTGACACAAACCTCTCTAGGTCTTTTCCCCCCCCAAATATAAACATTATTCCCATTCATTGTATTACTTTTGAAACATAATTTCATTATGTTCTTGTGACTGAAAGAGGTTCAATGAATTAGTTGACTTTGTTACTTGTAACAATTTCCAGCCCTCGCTATTTTCCTTCATTGCCTGAGATTCCTCTTTCTCAGATGGTTCAAGTAAAGTAACTTACCAAAATGCTGGCAGTGATGGCACAAACATTGTTGTTCAGACACTTAAGTGAAAAAAATGGTTTATGAAACCTTTTACTGCTAGTTGATACCCTGCATGTATGTGGTATTGAAATATTTTAAAGTATTTTCATTATTTTAATATTTTCTTCTTGTATTTAAAATACTTCTAAAACTTTTAAAATATTTTAGATTACTCACACTGCTTTAAACTGTCAAATAGATTTTATTCTAAACTGCCCTGAGACTTTTGGATGATGGGCAGGATATAAATCTTCTGACTAATTAATTAAATTAAAGCATCTGACACTCCCAGTAAGACCAATAACTCCAAGTATTAAAATTATCCAATTTCATCGGTTTCAAAGTGAGGTTAGAATTGCTTGGCATCAAGAGGATTTAATCATAGGGGCCTAAATACACTAAAACATTAGATCCTGCCTAATTATGGATGCTAAACAGGGTCATCCCTGATTAATAATTGAATAGGAGCCCCCAACAAATACTAGCTGCTCTATGTTATATTTCAGAGGCCGGGACTGGCAAAAACACCTGTGAGTATTCTTGAGTATTCCTTGTATAAGAAAACTCTATGAAGTTCATGTGGTCACCATAAGTTAACTAGTGACTAGAAGGCACAGAAGTGCACATCATCTCAATAACTTACCCTGTTTCAGCCTCTTCCTCTTACCGCATTGTTTGGGGGAATGTGGAGTCATTAGGTTTACTCCGCAGATTCATGTTTGTTATGTGTAGAGCAGGGATTAGAAAAGTTGCTGTTTTGGAGGCCATGCACTTTCTAGAAATCGTGGCTTTAAAAGTAACATTTCTGTGATCTGCCTGAGTGTAACTGTGAACTGGAAGTAAAACAACCAGAACGCACAACAAAAAGAAGAAAATGATGCTGAAATATTATGTAAAGTTTGTCTTTATTGCTTTGAATGACTAAATTTCAATATTAATATCAAGTCACTACAGAGAGTATGTTGATGTTGATGATGATAATTAAGGTTATTTATACCCTGCTTTTTCTCGCTACAAAAAAAAAAAATCAAAGCCGCTTGCCACAAAACCAGTGCAATACAATTTAAAACCTGGAGCCCCTGGTGGTGCAATGGGTTAAACTCTTGTGCCAGCAGAACTGCTGACCAAAAGTCAGTGGTTCGAATCCAGGGAGTGGGATGCCCTCCCATCTGTCAGCTCCAGCTTCTCATGCAGGGACATGAGAGGGCAATGTCCTTGGAGACAGCCAATTGTCTCACACCAGAAGCGACTTGCCAGTTTCTCAAGTTGCTCCTGACATGAAAAAAAAATTAAAACCTAAAAATTACAAACATTAAAATAAAATTAAATATTAATTGTATTAAAAACAAACAGTTAAAAACCTTTCAACTAATTTAAATAATATTCAGAGCTAAAACCTCAACAACCCCTGTTAGGCCTATTAGTTTGGCCTGTTTTTAACAGTAACCCTCAAGCAAGCAGAAACAAAATTTATTCAGCATCTCCCAATTCCCATTGGTGTTAGTTAACTGACAATTTACTGTACCTGGATGTGTCTGAACAGAAAATTTCAGGATGAATTGATCCTGCTTAACATTGAAAAAATGGGGCAGCTAACAGTAGCAGATATGCCCTTTTCATGCCATGAGACCCTTGAGGAATGTGCAATACAAATATTTCAGATCTCTAAAGAAAACATTCAATGAAGAACTAAGAGGCTGCAGGCAAAACTGTGTGTGTGTGATGGGTGGAGTCTTTCCAATTTGTTAACTTATGTGGATGTTTGTCAGGAAGGGAAGAATTTAAAAAAGAAGAAACTGTACTCTATAAAACCTGGTTTTCTTTCTGGTTCTCTGTCTATAAAGGCATTTTTGTTCTGGAAAGGGAAGGTTGTGAACTGTCTTACTCGGGCTTTTGGAAAAAGGAGACGCCCAGGCCAGCTTTGTCCCCTTTGGTTTAACTGTGTGGAATTTATTTTTACACCCCAAAATAGCAGAGTGTGAAGCCTATGGTATCTTAAAGCTATGGAGCATAAAACTAGTCCTTGTAATCAGGAATCCTATGGTGTTAGAATTATAGATATTCAGGAGCAAGAAGCAGTTTTGGCTTTCAGTGGAGCAGCCAGTCCAAGAAAATTTCTTGCCTCAAGCTTGGATTGGAGTAGGAGAGAGCTTTTTATCAAGCTGGCTAATTTCTCTAATGACTCCACAACTGTTATCCAGAAAAACCCTACGAGGAGCAAGCCAAACAACTCAGGTGTGCAACAATATAGAAAAGACATACACATGAAGAAAGTGTGGCTTTTGAGATTACTATGGAATGGGCTTGCCATCAGCAAAACTTTTTCCTTGGGTGAGCCTACAGAGGTCGTAAAATCCGGGGCCAGCCCCACCTCGCTCAACCCACTGTGATGCAATGTTGGTATTCACAGAGTCCAACTGGACTGAGACTGCAATGGCCCCAATGCACTGCCATTTGAACACCTCAGCATTGCAGGTACCCCATTCTGACACCAGCAGAGGTTCCTACAATCCCCTCCCTTTCTGGTCAGAAGGGCGCCTCTGTTGATGTCAGAACATGGTGCCCAAGGTGGACAGGAGCTTAGATGGAACTCAGTTGCTTGCTGGGAGTGGTGAGAGCAGCATTGACACAGACATGATCCATACTCTTTCAAGCAAACCCTAGAGTGTCTCTGACTTTGCCCAAAAACAATGCAAAGTCAGTTTAACCTTTAAAAAAACCATGATCCCCATTGGAAGTCAATGATTGTTGTGGGAACAGCCAGAAGACAATTAGATGTGTATCTGGATTTTCTTGTCCATGTAGACTTGCAGTTACTCACTAAAGCATGCTATTTGAGTGATGGAGCGCATATGGAGTGTATTCTTGAGGCTATCCTTTTCCTCTGATATAAAAGGCAGACATGGAAACCCATGGTGTGGCCTTGGCAAAATCATACTTCATCCCTCTGGCTCTCAATCTTGCAGCAAAATTACCTTTCATCGTGAACGTTTCTAGCACTCAGTTTTGAAGAAAGATGTAACATTATACGTGTCATATTCTCCTTTATGAAAAAATAAAACATTGCTCCATAATATACTCTTCATACAAACTCCCCAGGTTCACTATTGCATCTCCAGATAGTGTTGGGAAAGACCCGTTTCATCCTCTGTCACTGCCATTAATCTTCTGCTGAGAAAGTCCACTTGTAGTAAGACCCGACTCAATGTGGTTCATTCACATAGCAATGGCACTGTCATCATACAAGGACATGGTAAAACAAAGAGGAAATGGGTCATCAGCTGCATATTTTGGCTAAAGTTTGGTCCAGGTTTGAAAGGAGGAGGACTTCCAAATACTGAGATAGATGTTCTGATGTTTTTCCTCTGTATAAGGGCAATTCTCTATCTTCCTAGATATTCTAAAGGCTTACATTCTTTAGCTGAAAAGGGATTCTGAGCTTTCACTGTAGTTTTTCTGTGTTTTGCTGCTACATTTTTTGCCCTCTCTCTGGTCCTTGCTTTCCCTGTCTTTGCCACCCATTTCTCACTCCAGCCTCTGCTAGTACATTCCAGAATTCTACAAAATTAAAATTCCAAATCTCGTAATCAGCTTAAAGTATGACCATATTAAACAAATTAAGTCTATTAACTCTGAGTATATAATGTAAACACATTTGATTTTTATCATACCAGAACAAAGCAAATTATTCCTGTCTTATGTTATGCTATATTTTGTAGTGCCTTCTAAATGTTATCTAATACTTGTAATAGGACTAAGGCTCACTAAGCCACAAGATCAGGACTTTTTTGTTAGAAAGGACACGGATGCCATCTGCCTCAACAAATCCAGTCCCTTTGTAGTCAGAAAGGGGAATTTATTTTTCCAGCGCCAATGTATTGTTGTGAGTCAACACTGTGGATATTTGGGAGTGGCTTGATTTTAAGTTGTGGAGCCTCCGGTGGCACAGCAGGTTAAACTGCTGAGCTGCTGAACTTGCTGACCGAAAGGTTGGCAGTTCGAATCCGGGGAGTGGGGTGAGCTCCTGCTGTTAGCTACAACTTCTGTCAACCAAGCAGTTCGAAAACATGTGAATGCGAGTAGATCAATAGGTATCGCTTCTGTGGGAAGGTAACGGCACTCCATGCAGTCATGCCAGCCACATGATCTTGGAGGTGTCTATGGACAACACTGGCTCTTTGGTTTAGAAATGGAGATGAGCACCACCCCCCCAGAGTTGGACACAACTGGACTTAATGTCAAGGAGAAACTTTTACCTTTTTTACTGGTCTTAAATGTGCAATTGAGAATAGTTGGCTTAAAAAAACCCTGCAGGAGATGAGCTGTGCTCTTTTTTAAAAAAAATCAACAACAGCTATTTATATTTTTGGGGTCTTAAAAATGGCCTGCATTGTTAGGATGAGGACCTGTGCGTGAAAATTTACAGCTACACTGCTAGATACATTTATACAGAGTGTCTAATTTTCTGTAAGCCATGTGCTCTGGTGCAGGCCTTCACAACCTATGGTCTTCCAGGTGTTTTGGTTTCAGCTCCCAGAATTCCTGGCCATTGGATGAGCTGGCTAGGGCTTCTAGGAGTTGGAGGCCCAAACACTTGAAGGACCACAGAATGTGACGGTCTAGTGGTTTCCGGGTTCTTTGCTTATCCATCAAGTCAGACTCATTACCGGAATCATTGGACATCCAGCATAGAAGGTGCTGCTTCCATAAAGACTTTTTAACTAATATTGGATTTATATACTGAGCAAAAATACACTTGCCTTTGGTAGAGATTCAGTGTTGGTTTTATCAGACCAAAGAACCCTTTCATCAGTTTTGCTGTGTTTGCCTCAGCAATGGCTTGCCACTCTTCTATAAGTCCAGGCTTGTGGAGCAACTAGGTGATAGGTATGCCAAGACAGTATCTCCCATGGCATCTGCACATTTCTCCAGTTCATTCACAGTAATCACTGCTTCTTGGTTGCTTCTCTGACTGATGCCATCCTTCTGTGTGGATATGCCTTCAAGTAATTCGTTGATGTATGGTGACCCTATGTAATTAATAGAGTTTTCATAGGCAAAGAATATTCAGATACGGTTTTGCCAGTTCCTTTTCTTGAAATAAAGCCCGCAGCATCTGGTGTTCGTAGGTGATCTTCCATCCATGTACTAACCAAGCCTGACGTTGCTTCCAAGATCAGACAGGATCTGGTTATCCAGGAACAAAGTTTTGATGGATAGCCTTCTCTAGGCAGAGTCGTAATTGAAGCATATTCTTTCCATTTCACAGTAATGGATTTAATAGTACTCCAGAAAATACCTGATTGTTTCCGCCATTTTTATACTGTACTTGTTTTATTAGCTTCTTGATCTTTATATTGCCATTTGTTTAAATATACACTCCACCAAACTCCAGGGTTTTACACAAACTGGTATATTGAATCTGATATTTGAACTGCAGACAGTTTGACTCTATTGAGCTACATGTATGACTTTTGGCAGCTATGGGTTGACTAGAACCAACAAGTGCCAGTTTATTTGCTAACATTTATATCACACTTAAATATGTTGCACTTTCACAGAGTTGTGCATCTTGTGTACAAGGAGTAAAAATACCAATTTCAGTTCCAGCTAACACAACATAATGTAGAAAAGTCAAAGGAAGTAAATATATTGGGTAAAATACTGAACCTACAGAATATTTCTAAATAAAATGCACATTGTATGCAACTGTTAAAAAGTGCACAAAACCTAAGAGTATTGTTCAGTTTTAGTGGTCACGTTGAACTTAAGGCTTCAGGAGAAACGTGCTGTATTTTGCTTCCAGGACGTGGTACGTTCCAGTTATGCATTGTGCAGGGAGCTTTAGGCTCTTTCATAGCTTGGATAAAGCACAGGCCTGAGTCATAGGACATGAGCTAAATTCCCGGCTAGTTGCCAGTTGCTTCCCACTCCAAGCGATCTGAATGCCAATTATATTCAGACAGCAATGAAAGCAGCAACCAGCTACAATCACAAGAACAACTATGGCTGTTTGATTATTCTTATTACTCTTGTCAGCCAGTTGCAGAATTCAAACATCTGTTCAGTGCACTGGTGGCACTTTCAATCTATAGCAGAATGAAATTATGGAATAGAAGCTCAAGGCCAGATTTGCAAAATGCCCCAAGAAGAAATGGATAAACGAACAAATGAAAGCCTACTATCCTCTATTAAAAAGTCAGGTGACAATTCAAGTCTAACTTTCCTTGCTGCACAATATCTTTTGGTCTTTATTCTAAAACACAGAAAAAGCTTGTGCAGTCCAAAGTGAGCTTCCCTCACATTGTTCCCACAATTTTGTTCAGTCTACCCTCGACTTATCCATGGCTTGGCTTAACGTGACGGAAGTGAATTGAGGGTACAGTTGTAATGTATTTAAAAACACAAACAAAATTAAACACTTGGCATTATACGAAATGTCTTTTGACCAATAGCTGGCCACTTGGAGTGCCTCTGGTGTTGTTATAAGAAGGTCCTCCATTGTGCATGTATTAGGGCTTGGATTGCATTCTGATAGGTGGTCTGTCGTTTGGTCTTCTCCATACTTGCATGTTGTGGAATCCACTTTGTAGCACCATTTCTTAAGGTTGACTCTGCATCTTGTGGTACCAGAGCACAGTCTGCTGAGTGCCTTCCAAGTTGCTCAGTCTTCTGTGTGCCCAGGAGAGTCTCTCATTCGGTCTCAGCCACTGATTGAGGTTCTGGGTTTTAGCCTGCCACTTTTAGATTTTAGTTTGCTGAGGTGTTCTTGTCAGTATCTCTGTAGATCTTAGAAAGCTATTTTTTTTATTTAAGGTATTGGCGTGCTGGCTGATATCCAGATGGGCTGGAGATGTCAAGGCCTTGATCCTTTCATTATTGGCAGCTACTTCCCGATGGATGTTAGGTGGTGCAATACCGGCTAAACAGTATAATTTCTGTAGTGGTGTGAGGCATAGGCATCCTGTGATAATGCAGCATGTCTCATTAAGAGCCACATCCACTGTTTTAACGTGGTGAGATGTGTTCCACACTGGGCACATGTATTCAGCAGCAGACTTATCCATGAGATTGGCATATAGATGAGTATATATGGTAAATCATCGTTCACCTCTGTCTCTTAAATGTAGCTATTCTTAACACTTTCATTGCTTAAAAGGTTGAAGTCACAGTTCATACTGCAGTTGCCATATGTCTCCCAAAAGCCAAATTTTGTTTTTAAAAATCCTTCCCTAATGTCTCATTGAATAACTAAAAATGCACGTAATGTAAAAATGCACAGAAAGCAAACATGATCAGTGCTGTTTTATTTGCAGGTAGAAGAAGGTGCCTTTGTGAAGGAGAGTTTTGATGAGCTTTGCTGGACGTTGACAGCAAAGAAGAATTACAAGCCAGACCGGAATGGGAATAGTGTTGTATCCCATGAAGATGCCTTCAAGCTCTGGTGTCTCTTTAATTTCTTATCTGAAGACAAGTACCCTCTTGTTATGGTGCCAGATGAGGTATGATTGCTTTTAAGTTATTGTCTTCCTTGTTGTGGTTGCACTTACCCTAAGGGAGTAGTCACACTAGACATGTTTATATGATAATTGGCTTAGCAATGACTATAATAACTACATAGAACCCAGTTAATGAGCATCATAAAAATTGAAGCAAGATTTCATTCTACATCTAACTTATCCTAGCTTTTGGCAAATAGATTTGCACCTCATACTAAGCAATATCTCACAAATGGTGGCATTGTTGAAGGTTGCACCCTGGGATCCAAATAATGGATCTTTGAAAATAGAAACATCTCCTACATTTCACCCCCCTACACATCCCAGTGCAAGCAGTCATGGAGATTATTTATTTATTTATTTAAAACACTTATATTCCGCCCTTCTCAGCCCGAAGGGGACTCAGAGCGGAGCACAACATATACATGGCAAACATTCAATGCCTGGGTACAATACATAAACATTAAACAACATTTATCTAAATATTAAAATACATTAGTTTAGTTTCTGCAGCCCCAATTTCATTGGGGCATTTATTAATAGCCTGTACAAGATCTTTAAGAATGACTCAGTACAGTTTAGATCTTCATTTCCCTCTTCATGTCCTGCTATTAACACAGTTAAATCTAGTGCCCTCTCCTCTGTAGACAGCTCTGCCTTACATTTTAAAAATGCATTGTTTTGCAATGCATCCAAACTACTACATTTGTCATAGGAATATAGGAAACTGCTTTCTGTTTCATCAAGCTCAGAATTATCTGGGCTGACGGGTAGAGGTTCCGCCACTTGAAGCCATACATGGAGGCTGCAGAAATTCAAGATGAAACGTTCGGCTTTGCGAAACATGCATTTTGCTGCTGAGCAGCAGCTATTTACTAAAAGAGAGAGCCCAATGTCACTGAAATAGTGATCTTTGTGTGCTTTCATGTGTGATGCTCCATCAAAAAGAGGCTTATTTGGTTCATGAATGCTGAATTTGCAGATTTGCACGCATACGTGTGAACACAATGAAACATTTTGTACCGTTTGCCAAAAAGGGTAATGTAGGTTAAATAGATTAGTCTGTTTCCAGTGTGCATCAACTACATGTGTGTTCATTAGTGATTCAGTATGCAGGCAAGGTAGTGTTGAAAGAGTTTGAGATGAGATTATGAGGTAGGTTGGATTCTAGCATCATGTGTATAGACTCAGTTTAGATTTTGCTAAAACTGAAAACTGTAGAGGATGACTGTATAGGTACTAGGTGTATTGTTGCTGTTTTGTGTCTTAAAGTAATTCATGACTTATGCCAACCATAAGGTGCACTTATTGTAGGGTTTGGTTGACAGAGGGTTTGACTTGCCTTTCTCTGAGACTTGTTCAAGTTCATCCAGTGGGTTTCCATGAACACGCAAGGGATTGAACCCTGGGCCCTCAGTGTCCTAATCCAACACTGGGTAGAGTGTAGAAGAGGGATTTCATTAGATGATGCTTGTCATAAGTAAAAGTATAGGAACCTTCTCCAATTTTCACTTTGACAAGCTTATTAGAAGAGAAATAAATGTGTCCATGTGGTGGCGGGTAATTGCGAGGAATTGTGGGGACACAGTGATTTGCAGGCATGTCACATCTCTGAATCCTGCCCCCTGAATTTGGAGCAGATGAAAAATAGTTTCCCCACAATAGCAAGCAGCATTTTTAAACCTCTCAGGGAGGATGTACTAGTAGTCATTTTAACACATTTTCAAGTGTTTTGCATCTTCTTGGTGGGTTAAGGCCTCTGAACATCCGCTCCAGCCACTACAACACCAGGTATGTGCAGATTTTAAAAGCCTATATAGATGTAAGAAAAGCGATGGGTGCCTCTATCCGACAATCACCTAGCCTTTGGTCTGCATGCATAGATGAGCAATTCTTAGATCACGGATTTACCATCTACAACTAAGTAAGCAAGTCAGCTTGAAAAGGATGTGGAACAGTGGCTAGGACCTGGGAAGCAAGAGGCCTCCATCTGTGCTAATCATGCAAAAACAAAAAACCCAGTAAAGAAACAAACAAAAAGTCAACAACCCAAACAAAAAGTCCCTGCTTTTAGTATACTGCAGAGGCAGGGCAACTTGTAGCTCTTGACCTAATTTCAAAAGCTAGTGATCTGTTCAGGACTCTTTAAGAACCCTTTTCTTCCTTCCCCACCAGCTCTCATGGGGATGGGGTGGAGATGAGGATGGGGGTGTAGAAGAGAGAGAGAGAAAACAAAAGAGAGGCGGAAAGCAAGGAGAAAAGGAGTGGGCTTGACTGCCAGTAGGCTTGGAGCCCAGCAGATTTTCCCTAAAGTAGGATTGCAACTGGTGAGACCTCCTTTATCTTTAAAACTTGTGTAGAAGAGGGAATTTCAGCAGTTGTTGCTTGTCATGCAACCAGGTAACAAACAACATCTGCTGAAATTCTTTAGAGTTGCTGATATTGTTGCTATTGCTCATGCTACATTAGAGTGTGTGTGTGTGATTAGTGTGTGTGTGTGTGTGTGTGATATCAAGCTACTGAGCAGGTTGATAAGGTTGTGTTTTTTGTTAAAACTTTAAAAAGAAAAGGGTCATCTGGAAGGTATACTACGCTTCTAAATGGGTTATGTATATTTCTGAAACAAAGGGTTAATTACAACCAAGGAATGCTGCTCAGTCAAGCAAAACCACTAATAACAGTAATAATCTCTAAATTCCATAAGGCATGTTGGAAAGAGGGAGGTTTCTTTTGTTTCCTAGTAGACGAGAAATCCCAGTCAGGTGATTTGTAAATCTTCAGAATGAGACTGAAGAATGAGACTGCATTCACATTGGTCCAAAAGTCATTGAAGATCTAAATAGAAAGACATACACCGTGCAGGTTTGGTTATATCTACGTCTCACACACATCGGCTAACACCTGAATGCTGTTCCTTGTATGTTGCCGTTAGCTGGTCTTTCTCAATGCTCCTTCCTTTCAGTTCAGAGAAAAAAGCATTGCATGCACATATACTCAACAGCTACACTTCCTCTTCCTCACCAAGACATTTCCTGTTCTTCAGAGCCTTGAAAAAAAAGAGAAGCCTTTCTTACTAAACCACTGCTTGGAGTTTAGCATCAGTTTGCATTTTATTTTTGGTAGAAGGCCTTACTCAAGGACTGAGAAAGACTGGGTAACACCATTTTCTGTCGTCACCACTCAGTTCCTGGATTCTTGCGGTCTCTTTCGCATCCCCACTTTGCTGAGCAAACTCTCCTCCTCCCAGCCCTCCTTTGCATAGAACCATAGAGTTGAAAGAGACCACAAGGGCCATCCAGTCCAACCCCTTCCCATGCAGAAAAACACAATCAAAGCACTCCTGACAGATGGCCACTCTTCCTCATTGTTTCTGGATTGGACCCTCAGCCCCAGAGGCAACACAATAGGCATGTTGGGATAGGAATAAGGGGGGCAACAAACTCTGAGTGTGATTAAAGGGTGTCAAATTGCTAATTATTGATTTTGTTATAGTATTCTTTCCTACCAAGAATGTGAAGAAGTGCATGTGGTTTCAGATGCCAGAATTACTCAGCTGACTTTAAATATTATGCACACATGACTCGAGTGGTGAGGTGGAGAAGATGCTATTCATTATTCTGCTTCAGGCAACAAAATGTCTTGGATCTTCCTGGCTGGCTGCAGTGGATCTTGGAGACATTGTTATGAGTGTTAGATTTGTTCTTGCTGTTGCAGTGTCTCCCTGTATGTATTCCACCACAGCTGGCTTAGATGAATCTGGGGGGGGGGGAATCTGGAGACTTAGACTCAGTCCAGTGAAGGCATGTTTGGGCCTTAGAGCCTTACCATTTGCTGAACCATGCCACCAGGCACATTTGGTAGTATATTTACTAGCTCCCTTCACTTCTTTCAGGTGGAGTATCTCTTGAAAAAGATCTGCACAGCCATGAGTATTGAGTTCAACAGTGGAGAGCTGGATGATTACCTTTCTCAAGAGACTCAACAGCAAAGTGGTTTGACGGTTTGGCAATTCCTTGATCTGGTAAATTCAGGCCGGTTCCTGCGGGGAATAGAGCGTGAGGCCATCAGTATGGCCATTGAAGAGGTCTACCAGGAGATCATTGGAGATGTGTTGAAACAGGTAAAAAAAAAACCCAACCCTCTCCCACTGTTGGGAATGGAAATGCTAATGCTTTGCTTAGTTATGTTGAAGGGTTTGCTTAGTGATTCTCAAACCTTGTGCTGGGGAATCCATCAGGACTTTATTCACTTTTCAATGGGTTTCAGTCTTATGGCCCTTCCTTGAGAAGGAGGGAGGTGTGAAAACATGTCAATGGACTCTTGTTCTCTTTCCACATGTCAAGGACACACACTCAGCTTGACTGAACTCACAGGGTTATTCTGGGGATAGCGTAGGAAAAAGGAGAGCCATGTATGCCACCTTGAGTTCATTAAAGAAAATGCAAGCTAGATGAAATGACTGCAAGGAAATGAGTTCAAAGAATTCAGCAATTTTGGAAGAGGGGTGAGATATAAATGCAAAATCATATCAGCAACTGGTATGTGGTAGTGACAAATGCCTGTTCCATCTGTTATCATTTTGTGATGGGGAAGGGCTTATTTCCATCTTTTTCTAGCATGCCCTGAAGATAGACATTTTGATAATCACTGACCTAGAAAAACTGCAAATAATGTACATTTTTGAAATATCTACAGCAGAAGCAGCTTCCTTTGGGTGAAGTCTTGATTAGTTTGATGCGGATTGCGCCTTCTGCATTCTGCCTTTCAAAAAGTATGACATGTTATCGATTAATTCATGGCATCCAAGCCAGGAAAGAACATCATCAGCATTATTATTATTATTATTATTATTATTATTATTATTATTATTACTAAGCAGTAGCTAGGTGTGGCAATGCCAGAGAATCCATACTAATGTCTGGAATGGCAGCTACATGTGAAAAAGAGTCTGTGGCAATCACATCTGAAGTTTGCGTGCATATTGCATTTCCTACTGAGTTCAGTGAACCAAGAGAGAGTTGGTGATCACTAGCTACTGTGGATTTAACTTGATAAGCCTTGCTCTAGAATCTTGCTCATATTGCTTACTCCTGATAAGGCCATCAGGAATCACAGTGCCCTTGTGGCTTGCAAGTGTGCCAGATCAGCATGTCTGGAGCTACAACTTCCCTTACTTTCAGGAAAAAAACCTGAACTTCAGTACATCATGAAAATAATACCAATGAGGACATACTTATTTATTATTTACTATATTTATACCCCGCCCTCTCTCTCCCCAAAGGGAACTCAAAGTGGCTTACAAGTAATATGTATATACAAGATATTATATTATTAGCATAGCACAATATTAGTATTATATATTACTATATTGTACTATACCACTATCCTGCAATATTATTAGTAATATTACATGTAATATATAACTATTATTATTATACTGTATTATTATGGTATATTGGTATTATATTATAGGCTTTTCTGCTTAACTGAAGGACACAAAGAGGAAGAAAAACAAATTAGCATCCCTGAGACTCACAAGCCACACAGGTTTTCTTGTTCATGCTAGTTCTATTGGCAAGGATGTTGCACACTTAAGAGTCTTTTGTGACATAAATCTTTGTTAAATGCAAAGGTCTTTGGTACTACTTTCCTTTCTAAAGTTGCTGCTCTCTCTCTAACCTCCATCTTGGTTTGGGAGCAGGGCTATCTGTGGAAGAAAGGTCACCTGAGGAGGAACTGGTCAGAGCGATGGTTCACCCTGAAGCCCAGTGATCTCTCTTACTACATGACCGAGGAACGGAAGGAGAAGAAGGGAAGCATTTCTCTGGACAGAAATTCCTGTGTGGAGGTAATCTGACATGCCCTGGTACACAATGGGAACTTTAAACTTTGCTTTACTGACTTTTTAAGTGTATTTAAGGAACTAGTGATTATGTGTACAGTATATAGTTTTTACCAATAGGTAATAGATACTACTTGAGAAAAAAGCACTTCTGAGGCTGAGTGGGGGATGGCTTGCCCTATGATATTCTTGGTCAAATCAAGACAATGTATAAAGGCCAGAATACAATAACAGAATGTGGATTTTCATTTATGAGATTTACCATACAACATATTACTTTCATTGTTCCACCCATTGGTTACATTTTAAGCTGTGAATAAAAACTCACATGCATATGACATTGGACAACAGTAGGCTACATGATGAATGGAAGGGATTTACTAATTTGTGATACTGAAAATGGGAGGATAGAAGCTCAGTGAATAAAAACATCCGCTACCTGGAGAGAGGGCTTGTACTGACACCTGTCTTTTTCTCTGGAGTGATTTTACAGTACTAGGCTGCTTTCGCAGTTCTTGACCTATCTACATTTACTGAATTATCCTTTTACTGTTCAGGATAGCCTCTCCTTGAAGCTCTTGAGATCAGTAATTCCATGTTTAAATAAGTCATAGTCCATTCCCCCCTTCACCACTTAACATCAAAAGCTATATTTTATCCAAACCAAAATGGGATGTTCTGGCCAATTCTAGACTTTTGAAGGGGAATAGGCACCCAGGCCCATTGTTTTCTGTAGTGATCCACTCCTGACATAAGCAGATCAAGCTTATGGAGATAACCCCTGAGGCTTGCATTCGTGTTGCATTTGCAATTGGTTTTGCATAGGAAGAGTCAAGGTTCTCTGCTTACCAGCTAACATAGGTTCTATACCCTATGTGGAAAAGATGCTCTGTGGGAATGGGATAGGGAAGAGAAAATATGATTGCAGAATTTGGGATTAGTTTGAGTAAATTATTAAAAAGTGTTAAGTGTATTTATCTGTTATGCTCCCCCTCTTATTTCATTATTGTGATGAGAAGGCTTTGCCTATATTAGCCCATTTTCACATGTATCTGATCATTTTAAGTCATCTTCATAGTTATATGAACAACACCTTAGTTGTTCCCTTGTAGAGAACAAGCCACAGGACAAGAATCCTTAGCCTTTATTACTTGCATAACCCCTAAAGGAAGGCAGCTAATTAAAAATTGGGGATCCCATAGAGATTGTTGTTATTTTAGGTTGGTAGCAATGCATCTTGTATGTTACATTGCTCAGAGTTATAGCAGAGGGAGGTTATAACTACATTTCTCGTTTCCTGGCTTAAAGATTTTACCTGACAAAGATGGAAAACGGTGTATGTTCTGTGTGAAAACAGCTTCACGGACATATGAAATGAGTGCTTCGGACACCAGACAAAGGCAAGAATGGACACTTGGTGAGTACTCTGTTACTACTGTAGTACTTTTGAGCTGGTGCTCTTTGAAAGATGGGTTTCTTTCCTACCATTTGGGAGATTTTGTGAAATAAAGAGGTTAAATTGTAGATAGTCAGTAACAGAAGCCTCTCTCCTTTATAATTGACTTTCATTTATGGACTGGCCATGTCTAACCGCATCTCCCTATATAGACCACCTCGCACATTGCGGTCATCGGAGGAGTCCCTGCTCTTGGTCCCACCCCCCATCACAAGCACGGTTGGTGGGAATGACAGAGGGGGCCTTCTCCGTGATCGCTCCCTGTCTCTGGAACTCCCTCTCCAAAGAAATAAAAATGGCATCCACCCTCCTCTCCTTCAAAAACTTCTGAAAACACACTTATGCACCTTAGTGTATGGAGAGAAGGAGGACTAGCACACTCTAACTCACTGGAACGCTGGCTAATTTATTCACATTTTTTAATTGTCTAGAGTACCTGTTTTAGTGTAATTATGTTTTATTTAGTGTAATTACATTTTATTTAAGTATTGTATTTTTCTTTTAGTTTTAATTCTTTTTTTCTTTAATCATAAGTTGACTGATGCTATCTTGTATTATTTTGATGTGCGTGATTTTGACCATGGCATTGAATGTTTGCCTTTTTATGTATGTAAACCACCCTGAGTCCCCTCAGTCTATAAATAATAATAATAATAATAATAATAATAATAATAATTATAATTATTAAAGCCAAGAAAGCTATTGTCCTAAATATCTGGACCACAAAGGTACTGAAATACTTAAAATTTCATTTAGTATTCAGTAAATTAGAATTTGAGCAAATTACTGTAGAAGTGAATTAAAAGCTTGAGTGAATTAGAATGATTTTGACATATAAAAAAACAATGTTGAGACCAGGTGAGCCTCCTTTGAGGGGCTGTTCCATAACTGAAAGTCCCTTCCTCACTACTGAAAAGGGTGGCCTTGTGAGACGGGCCTCAGTAAATGACATAAAAGGATGGGATGGATTACTGATATGGCAAAAGGCATTCCTTAAGGATTCCAACCTGAGTAGTGGATGCACAATCTTTTTTTTCTTTGGTAGCCATTCAGATGGCAATTCGTCTCCAGGCTGAGGGCAAGAAGTCTCTCCACAAGGATTTAAAGCAGAAAAGGCGAGAGCAACGAGAGCAGCGAGAGCGCAAGAAGGCCGCTAAGGAGGAAGAATTGCAGCGCCTCAAGCAGCTGCAGGAAGAGAAGGAGCGCAAGCTACAGGAGCTGGAGCTGTTGAAGGAAGCTCAACGGCAAGCTGAGCTTTTGCTCCAGGAAGAAGAGCAGCGACGCCAGCAGCAACATGAAGAAATGCAAAAGATGTTGGAGATACAATTGCGGGAAGCAGAACAGGTGAGTTCAAGCAAGGCAGAAATTGAGGATCCAGATTAAGAGAAAATGCAATAGATCCTAGGGATGTCAGGCATCGGCATCCTGGTTTAGCCAAAATACATGTGCTTGAAACCCAAGGTGGGTCTACACAGACACTATAATGTAGTTCAAAGTAGGCTTGAGGGTGGGATGTGTCCTCAAGACACACACCAGCAATGCACGCTTTTAAAAAGAATCCCAAAAACAAGTTCTGTCAGAAATGTGTTGTAGATGATACCTTTATATTCCAGTGCTGCAAAACGCAAAGTGTATTGTAGGCATTGGCCCCTGTTGAAGCACAATAAACAATCGAAAAAGGATGCTGGCAAACACACTCCAAGGGCATGGCTGCAAAGCAAGGGGCTAATTGGCTGCTGCTAATTGTCACTTCCTCTTTTTTCCACTTTGTATTCCTTTGGTACACTGATGCACATTTCCCTTGGAAATGAGAAAAAAGTGGGTTGAGGCCATGTTCTATGTTCAGTGTAATCACCTTCCTGGTTCAAAACGGCAGCAAAACTGGTTTCTTTTAATCCAGCTACTAACTGAATTATAGTGTCTGTGTAGAACTGCTCCAGAAAGCAGGGTGTTAGGTATAACATGCCTTTCAGGCCGCATGCAATACACACATTCACTGTTCCTCCCACATGCAGTGTCCAGCCGGACTCCAATTCATGCAGCTGAAATTGCAATCCCTTTCCACTTTTCTTCCTTTCCTGTCACTTCAGAAAGGGAAGAGGACATTTTGGCCTTCATCTTTCCAGGATGATGCCCTTGCAGCCATTCAATTGTTGCTGAATTTTGATGGTGGTAGTAAGGAGTGGAGTGGAGAGTTGGGCCATCACGTTACTCTTGGTGAGTCATGTGGCTCACCCTTGAGAGCACCCTCAACTTAAGAATAGTGCTTACACTGCTAAAGCAAAACACAGTTGTTTCACTCATACATCAAGGCAACAAATTCAGAAAGTTTGTTATGATGCAGTGGAGAGCCTCATGCTGTTGTGGTTCTCTTCTTGCTATTGTTAGCAATTTTTCTCAGCTTGACTGTTTTTTTAACTTCTAGTTGTCTCACAGTTGTAAGTGCAGCCAGCTGTGAACCTGTACAGAAAGGCTATTATCACCTGTATGCGTGTATGGAGGAAGGGAGGATGTTTTCTGGGCAACTCGGAATACATTATACTTGCATGTTTTTGCTTTTAAAAGAATTATGTGCAATTAAAATTCAGTTCAAAAGGGATGGCCATATTTCAGGCACATATTGTGCCATCTAATTCTGCATGGTAATGTTCTTTGCAACATAATTTTTAGGCACAGAAACAAGCATATGGAAACTTTTCATAGTTTGAGATTGGAGCTCCTCAGTTCAAAATGCTCCAATGTTTTTTTTTACCCCCTCCCCTCAAAATTCGGAGTGTGAGGACCATATAGTGTGCATTTTTCTTTGTCATTATAATAATCAATTACTCTTTATTGAAAGTGACAATACAGCTGCTAATGGCTCAGACAGTTCTGAGATAGGCTAAATTTAACTAACTGCCACTGCCCTCTGCTGTTGACTACTGTGCACTCTACATGCCAATGGCATTTTCTATTCTTGCCTGTAGGCTCGTGCTTCCATGCAGGCTGAGATGGTTTTGAAGGAGGCAGAAGCAGAACGTCAGCGTAAGCGCATCATAGAACTGGAAGAGATGCAACAGCAACTTCAAGATGCACTGCACCAGGAGGTTAGAGCTCGCCAGGATGAAGAAGCTCTAAGATATGCACAGGCCAGGTATGCAGAGTGCCCAGCTTTATTTTCGTCTGGAAACAATACTGTATCACAAATTCTGCAACTGAAAAGAATGGTAGAGTGGGGCAGTTGTCAGATTTCTCATGCTTTGTCATGTTCCTTACCACCTATTTTGCTGAGAAGAGCTATAAACACTCCAATGGCCAAGACTTGAGCACTACTCTTTACAACATTTGTATTGACGGTGCTTATAAACCTTCCGGGTCATTATTATCTGTACTTGGATGACTATTATCTTTGTTTTGGTTAAAATCCAGGAACCAGAATGTCTGCCAGAACTATCACAAAACTAGCCTTCTGCTGCCCCTTCTACTCAGATCTATTGCTTTTAGCCTGTTTCATATTATTGACATCAGCATGGATGCACATGTACCAAGTTCAAGAGGAAAGGTTCCTAGATCAAGAAGTTCTCAATCTAAACATAATTACTTAGAAAAAGTAGAAGAAGGAATCAAAATGGGGGCAGAGGTAGTGAAGGAATGTGAATTTCTATTTCAGTTACACTGAGGCTTAAAGTGAGGAAAGAGAACTTAGGGGTTGTGTCAAAGGTTTAATAAAAAAAGGGAAATTTTCAGGAGATGCTCATACACACTAAGGAATGGTAAAAAAAACAACAACCAAGGAATAATGTACAAAATTTAGTTGAGTATTGAGAAAACAAAAATATTGGCCACACATGATTCATGTCACTTTTAAGAAATAGGTTGAAGACGTTAAAATAGTTATAGTTTTTCTCTAACTTGTGATTCTGAAAATGGTTCACAAACAAATCATCTTATTTATTTGACTGTAGTCAAATCAGAAGATTTGAAATTAGTCAAGATTTGGAATGGTAGCTATAATGGAACTAGACAGGATTCTCAAGTGGAAAGATATAATAAAGTACAGGTTGAACATCTCTTATCCAAAATACTTTGAACCAGAAATATTCTGAACTTCTGGGTGTTTTTTTAATACCTGTATTTGCATATATATATAGAGAGGGAGGGAGGGAGGGAGGGAGGGAGGGAGGGAGGGAGGGAGGGAGGGAGGGATTAAAGAGTGAGACCCAAACCTAATCATGAAAATAAAGTATGATGTGTACAAGTATATAATCCTGTACACAAAGCTTGAATGTAAGTTCATACAATGTATTTTTAAAATCTGAATGAAACAATATTTGTGTACATTGAACCATCAGAAAGTAAAGGTGTCACTATCACAGTCACCCATGTGGACAATAGTGAAATATTTCGTATTTTGGAATTCTGATATGGGATGCTCAATCTGTATTAAAGTCAAGGTCATCCTTGGTGTATTATTATTAATATAGAAGTGGAGGGTTAAGGTGCAAGTGGGACAGTTTATGTAGGACTTGGAAAACACAGGAAGTTAGCACAGGTGTTTAGGGAAGAACATTAAAAGTTAGAAGGTCAAGTGAGGCCTGTCATTGTGTCTCATTACCTTCTCAGGCATGTTTGGTGAAAATAAGAGAAGAGGGCCTTCTCAATGGCGGCTTCTAGGAAAGCCGCCATTGGTGGTGGTGGCTCTCTTCTTCCACTCCTTTCATCAGGAAGTGAAGACTTTTCTATTAAGGCATTTAGAAAATGACCAACAAGCTTTTAATGGTATGCTGTTTGGTGGATATTTATATTTTGTGTTTCAGCTCATTTTAAATACTTTAAACACTTTCTAGATGGTTTAAATGTTTTAGAATAATACACACATGCAGATCCTGTCTGATTTTGGAAGCTAAGTAGAGTGAGCACTGGTTAGTTTTTTGATTGGATACATGGACAAATATCAGGTACTGTAAGTTATATTGCAGTGGAGGAATTGGCAAAACTGAGTTTTCATTGCCTGTAAAAACCCTGTGAAATTCATGAGGTTGCCATCGGTCAACAGGCAGCTTGAAGGCACACACACAAATGAATGATATAATTGAAAGAAAGATGAATAATTTTGATGTCACTTTTATGGACAGAGTTATAGTTAAAGTGAGGAAAACTAAAAATGAGAGCGAAGAACATAGCCAAGATGAGAGATTACTAGGCCTTAACCAGGAATAGGGGATGGAGAAGAATGGGCATACTTTACAATGTTACACAGGCAAAAGCTAACAAGTTTTAGCAATGGATAAATACTGGAAGTAAATGAAAAAGATAATAAAATAACGGCTTTGCAGAGATTTAACCCAGTATAAAATGTTTATCCACAAACTCGCTCTCATTTATGCTGAAAGCAATTTTTTTTAGAATGGAGGCAATGGTCAACTTCTCTTACAAGTAGAGCCTGTTATTTTTATTCATAGCAACAATGATTGTTTATATATCCTGGGATTGACCTGTAATAAAACGGCTCATGTTGCCAAGTGTCACTGACTCCAGTGAAATTTTGCTAGGCTGCTGGCTGAAGAAGAGGAAAAATTGAAGCAACTGATGAAGTTGAAGGAAGAGCAAGAAGAATACATCATCAGGACTCAGCATGAAAAGCTGGTCCTGAAGCAAGAGATGGAAAATAAGAGCAAATTTCTGGAAGATGCCCAACAGCAGCTAGAAGAAGTGAGATTTAACAGAGAGAGAATGGACCAGGATGTTATGGTGAGTGGAAGTGAAGGTGTCTCCTCTTCACTTTTTCTTGTGGAACTAGTTACTCAAGGGCCACTGTCCCCATAGAAACCAGCTATGTATCCTCTTTCAGCTTTTCTCTCCAATTGCTGGATACACAAAATGTAAAATTGGGAAATGATTGAGGTGCATGCCTTAAAAATGATTCTAGTCAATATCCCAATTGCTAATATTAGCATGAATAGCAAGCTTTCAGAGAACTCCTAGAAGACTCAGAATGCTTTTATTTACTTATGCAAGACTTACCTGATTAGGTTGTTTCATTTCACATACATATTGTTAGGTTTTGATAAAAAGTTGTTGGAGCATATTGAAGTGCTCATATTATTTGTAGTGTAGGAATGCCTCCCTATTCATTCCATGGTATTTCAGCCTCTGGTGTCAAATTTTCTGTTGAAGAAGTAATGCAGATGAACACATCTACTTTGTTAACTCACCAATTGTCATCTCACCAATCTTGCTCTTATTTTTATCGTGGTGGTAAAGGGGTCCAAAGGCCATCTCACGTAACCTCGTACCCAAAGCAAAATCCTCATTCTTCTGCTTCATACAATCATCAGATTACCCAGGGCAATTCAAATCAAAGAAACCCACTAGTAGATAGTAATTATGCCATAGAGAGATGGCCCCATAGATATTGTTCCAATCTGAGCAGAGCCTTGGATGATGCTACAAGGGGACATAATGTCTTGAATGCTGCTTCATAGGCATTCCTGAAGCTATGGTTCCCAGCAAACAGTTGTAATTGCTTGCATTGATGTTGCAATTCTGTCCACAAGTTTTTATTGAGGGCTCAAAGAAGCTTAAAGAAATTCAGTTCCTCACTGTTTCAGTCTAATGCAAATGCTCTACAAGAAGCTAACTTTAAAAAAATACTCCTCCAAGTAAAGAAATCCAAATCTGCTGTATCATCTTTAAAACTGCCCAAGTACCTTACTGTGATTATCATCCATGTTGAGATATTAAGCAGTACAGTTAGTGACCTTTAGCAAAAGATTATTGAACTGAGGTATCATTCTGAAAATTTTGAAACTTTGACACTAGTGTATATTTAAAGAGAGCTATCTGGGGTTTTGTAATCACTGCTCAAAAAAAATTAAAGGATTATCAAAACTATGAGATTGTTCAGTGGCTTTTGGTTAGGACTATGATGTGAGCAGAAGAATCCTAGTTCGTGTGTGTGTGTGTGTGTGTGCGTGTGGTCAAATTGTTCATTTAATTAACTATATTAGGATCAGAGTAAAAAGAATTCCCCATTTCCTTGATTTTTAGATGACGTACACTTGTCACATGGGCATTTTCTTAAAATGAGACTTTGTTTTATCTGCTTTCCACTCACATTTCTCTCATGTGTTTAACAATTTTTCAATTTGCTGACTGATTAATCGAGATACATTTCTCATCAGCATTTTAAAACTGAGTAGTTTTATTATCATTTATTACCATGTATACTCATGTACAAGTTGACTTCGTGTAGAGGTTGAGGGCAGTCGAGGGTACACTTGTCACATGGACATTTTCTTAAAATGAGACTTTGTTTTATCTGCTGTTCACTCACATTTCTCTCATGTGTTTAACAATTTTTCAATTTGCTTACTGATTAATCGAGATACATTTCTTATCAGCATTTTAAAATAGTAGTTTTATTACCATTTATTACCATGTATACTCATGTACAAGTTGATTTCGTGTATAAGTTGAGGGCAGCTTTTGGGGAGAAAATTATACATTTTGATATGACCTGTGGATAAGTTGAGGGTCATTATGTGGAGAGGAGAAAGTATCAGCATTTCCTCAGGGGGCTAGTAGCCTATAGTAGTTACCACTGCCATTTTCCAACCCAGGCATTCATAAAAGCCAGAAGCAGCACCCTTTTGGAGAGAGTAGAGGGAGTTGGTGCATTTAGGTTTTCCCAAAATGAACTAAGCTCTCACCTTTCATCACTCTACTCAGTAGTGTACTTTAACGCTACACTCCTTTTCACTGGGTGTTAAAGTATGGTATTCACATTGACACATGGTTTTTGGGGGTGGGTGGGTTATTTTTTTTTTTACTAAAAATAGTGTATATAGTAAACACTGCAGTCTTGCTATTAATTTTAAGATGCCTTCTCAATGGTGCAATATAGAAAATTAATCTCTATTCAGTAGACACAATTACTATAGTTGGCAGTTGGTTTGGGGTTTATCATCCTTTGTAACTCATGTATTTAATGAATGTAATGCCTTTTAGATGCTTGAAAGTGCTATTATACTTGTCAAGCAGAGCTATTCTTTACTCCTATAGTACTCTTTTCCTGTTCTATTGCAGCTGGCCCAGCGGAAACTCCAACAAGCCAGTACCAATGTAAAGCACTGGAATGTGCAGATGAATCGACTAATGCACCCCATTACACCAGGAGGTAAATGACAAATCTGAAACAAATATATGCAGCTAAATATGAAGTGGTCATTGCTAGTTATTTGTCTCATGGTTTCAAACTTGCAAGCTAAACATATTGTATCTGGTAGCTATTTGTCTACTAGTGAATAATCTGATGTTATAGAAATAGATAGTTATGGTTCTTTTGATCTTCTGCTAAGTGTGCACAGAGTTCAGATCCCTCTGGGGTTTATGACCACCATTGTTTTTAAGATCTTTTGTCTTCTTATACAAATACAAATGTCCTTGTTGAATTGGACTGATTAAGACATTCCAACGTGATGGCTTGTGTTCTGTGCTATTATTTATTATCCCTGCTGGGATACAGGTCACAGTAGGCAGAATATAATTGTAGAATATACATATGTGTACACACACAGAGAATTTGTTGTAGTTATGGTAATTAGTGCATGCATAACAAAGGTGTTCAAAATATTTTTAAAAAGACTTCCATTCTTTTAACCAATTCTTCTGTTCTGTACTATTATTTATTTCTAGAGAAGCGTACCACAGTGACCACTGGAGGGTTCTCTGGCTTTAGTCCTGCACTTCTTTCCAGGAGAGATTCCTCTCTCAAACTGAAACAGAATTTGGAAAAGAAGAAATCTGATGCTATAAAAAATGAGGGGAAGGAAAATATAAATGGAGAGATTGAAAAACAGCAGCCAGTGCCTGAAGAGGATGATCCTACCTCAAAAATCCTCTGATTAGCAACAGGACAGAGGCAAGCCTACTTGTTTAAATATAGAGGCCAAGTAGTAAACATCGTAACAGCTTAGCAATAACTATAGTGCCTATAGATTTGAAAACTGGACAGATGTAAAGACTACATAGGAAAGACAATACAGGGATTGCGGTGATGATTCTGCTCTTTTGAGCCAAGGGCTACACGGACAACATGCTTATAGTATATTAGACATATACCTGATGTATTTGGACAAAATGGAGCCCTCCTTTAAAAAATCCATGCCTCACTCATACAGAACGATTGGATTACAGCTCTCCCTTGATATACCCAGTCCCGTTTGGCAAATGGAGAAACGTCGTGATCACATTGACTGCACCAAACTATGCTATTACTTGCATGAGGAATTCCTAACAGCTGCTGTTGCTGGTAACCACTGCTGCAATATGTCAAGATGCCTGTTTGTCTTTATAAATTGTAAAATATACCTTTATATATATATATTGCTTTGAGATATAAAAAGACTGGATCCTGTTCTTTTGGGGTCAATACTGTTAATTTTCTGCCTTAGAGCTTTCATTAATCTTTTTCCCCCCTTGAACAAAAGGAAAAAAAACATTGCTGAATAGAAGATATCCAAGAATTAACATTTATACTGGATTCGGAAAATACTTTGTGCCTGACATAAAATTTGAGTAGGATATGGAAAAGTTACTTTTCTCAGCAATAATTCCTCAAATTCCCAGCCAGTGTCTTGGAATTGTTGCGACCAAAAATAATTTTTCCAAGCTCTGCAAACTTTTCTCAATTTTTTGAGACTGGAAGCTTAAAATAAGTGGCTGTAGAAGGATGGATACTTAGTTGGCTGTACTAAGTGGCTAAGTAGCATATAATATGCATTTTACATTGAATTTTTTTTTATTTTTCATTAGAAGACTTTGTGAATATGTCCATATGTGTATTTTTTATTTTTATTTTAGGAGCCAAAGTACTTAGAAGAGAGGGTGCTTGGAGGAGTCGGCATAACTTTTTGGAGATGGGATATGAACACTGTGACTTTGATGGGGTCAGAGGTGTACAAACATTACCCTAAGAAGAGTTTCACAGGAAAAAAACACTGTACATAGAATCTTCAAAGATAGTAGCAGAAATGAAAGTGAACAAGGAGAAGGAAGGCATCATAATAGTTAAGAGCTTGTGAGGGAAGGAAAAAGGATTCCATGTTATGGGGCAAAATTACAGCATCTTTAATTAAATTGCAAAGATCTAAACATTTTAATGCCATAACTTCACAGTGTTGTAATGTGAACCTAACCTCATCTCATCAGAAATAAATCCCATTGACTCTAATGGGGTTATTCTCTAGTAAGTGTTCTTATGACTGAAGTCTAAGGATGCTTCTTAGACAAGCCTTTTATCATGGAATCACTGTGTCTCATTAATGGAATTTTAGTGTGGGTGGGTCCACACATTGTTGTCTTTTGTTTACAGCCCAAAATATTTGTGTAACACAATCTGCTGAAAGGGGAAAGATGGAATAATTGCATGGCGTGTGTTTTGACTTGTAGCACTAGAAGTTTTTCATTTAGAAAGTAATCTAGGAGTCTGGCAGATAAAAACAAAGTGGTATTAGAGAGCTGTTGCTACTTGTGTGTGTAGGCTCATTCTTTTCTGACACTGCTATGAATATTAAACAGGCTTTATGGGGCTTTGAAGCACTAAAAAAAGTCCAGAAAACCTGTTCAACCAGGAATGGTAGTGGGATTACATCCAAATTATAAACAATTACAGATCTGACTCAGAGCACTTGGGAGAAATAAATCATTGGGAACAGATGGCATACCAATAGAGCTGCTTCAATCTGCAGAGACAGAGTCTAATTTAGTTCTAATTAAAATCTATCAACAAATAATGGAAAACAAAACAATGAGCTACAGATCAGAAATTGTTAATATAAATTTCAGTTGTCAGGAAAGGGTACCAGGGTTTGCAACAACCACATGACCTTTGCATTCATTAGGAAAGAAAGAAGCACTAGGAATCATATTGCAAATATATGTTAGATGGTAGAGCACACTAAGAATTTTTTTAAAAAATCATGTGTTTTATAGATCATAAAAAAACTTTTGAATGTGTAGATCATGTAAAACTATGGACTGCTCATAAAGAAATGGATGTGCCACAACATTTGGTTGTTCTGATATGTAACCTGTACTCAGTCCAAGATGCTTGAGAAAATCAGAATGGTTTCCAATTGAAAAGCAGGCCACACATTTAATCGCCGTATCTGTTTAACTTGTACTCTGAACATATCATATGTAAAGCAGGATTAGATTTAGAAGAGGAGGTGTGAAAACTGGAGGGAGGAAATCAGTAATTTAAGATATGCAGATGACACCATACTATTAGCAGAAAATAGAAAATATTTGCAATTATTAGACATGACCTTGAAGTGTAAAAATATATCATGGAATAGCAAAGTGAGGATTGTCCATGACATTTCTATGTATGTTTGTAAAATCTAATAAGAAGCAAATGCAATTCATTTGAAATGTGGTGTGGGAAAAGATTTCTATGGACATTGTGAACAACTACAAAAGACCGATAACTGGGTCCAAGAATGAATCAAGCCAAGATGACTAAATTGAGACTGTTGTATTTTGGACTGTGTGGCCTTGAGATTTCTTCCAACTCTAATTTTATGACCCCATCATGAAAAGAAATGATTCAGTAGAAACAACAATAATGCTTGTTAAGGCAGAAGGCAGTTGGTAAAGAAGACTGCATTACTGATGGATAGAATCATGTAAGCAACACCCCAGAGTTTTCAAGACCAGAGTAGGGCTGTTGATGATAGAGTGACACGAGGGGGGGGGGGTCTCATTTATGGTGTCACCGTACATGGAAGTCATATTGGTGGCAGCTAACAACAAAGAGATTGGACATGTGACATTCAGCTCTTAAAATACCATCTCTGGCTCTAATAAAATTCAGTTTAAAGAAGAGAATACCTCAAAGGAGCTAGATCTCATCTGATTTTGGAAGCTAGCTAGCTAGGGTCAGAGACCTCAGTGAATACCAATGAATGCCGTAGGCTACATTTCAGAGGCAAGAACTGGCAAAACTACTCCATGCCTAAGAAAACCCTACAAAATTCAGGGATCACCATAAGTCATCATGTGACTTGAAAAAAATCAGACTTTTTTTCCCTTCTCAGGAAATGAAATTGAACACATCTTCCTTTCTACAGTATTTTGTGTTCTCAGAGAATGTGGAACTTCTGAAAGTTCCGCTGAAATTTCTCTGAGCAAAGCTGCAGCCTTTCTCATAATTTCTGGTTCTACTAATGTTCACTGGAGAAGAAACTCCTTGTGTCAGCACTAGCTACAACTTTCTGCTGATGACATTTTCTGCTGGAAAACCACAGAGCTACTTGTTCTATAACCACTTACCCAGTTGACTGCGGAAACACTTTTTAAGTCACACCTATCCTTTCAGAACAATCTTCGGAAATTCAAAATACTAAAACATATCAATACATATTAGATGGGAAATGGGACAGTTACTATAATTTCCCTGACTTTTTGTGTTTTTAAACTCTCCAGGTCATTGTGTGCCACAATCAATCTGCTAGTATTTAAGGTACTTGTGGACCCTTTTTATTGTAACATCACCTGACCCAATTGGTGAGATGAGACTACTGATTATTTGGATTCCTTCCCTGCAGAAAGGATAATTAGAAACAATAAAAGAGAGAGTGTACTTTCTTAATTTGCTTCAACTTTTCTACAGTACACAATGCTTGTGCTCCATCAGAAGGGAGGGGGAAGACAGAAAATTATTGGAGTCAAATAATATACCGGTAGAAGTTAAATTGTGTTAGGTTGGTAAATCACAATGTAAAGCTAAGGTATTGGCCAGCACTTTCCCACAAGTAGAATCAAATTCAATTTACACTTTTAATGCCTGGAAGTTTTTATTTTGTTTTTAAATAATCTTTATTGTGATTTTCACTATAACAACGAAAGGGGGGGAACAATCGGTGTGATAGAAAGATTGGAAAATTGATAGATTGGTATGCAGACATGGGAGGGGGGGGGGGGGAGAAAGAAAATAATTTTTTTAAAAAGGTGAGGTCCATTAGTGGCTTCCGTTCAGTCCGCAGAGGGAGTGTCCTAAGTTTTACACATCTTCATTTGGTCTCTCATTCATTTTTTGTTCAATTTAGTTCCTAATGCCAATGCCTGGAAGTTTTTAAAAGTGTGCCCGGGTTGAAAAAAAGAGAATAGTAGATCCCAGTTTTCCAGAGAGAGAATCATGATTGTCACATGTAACAAGATAAATGTTCTTACTCAATATGTTTAGTTTGGAGAAAAGTAGGCTGCTGTCAGGGGACATGATAGCCGTGTTCAAATATTTGAAAGGAGGTTCAATTGAGGAAAGTTTTCTGCTGCTACAGAAACTAGGACGTGAAGCCATGAATTCAAGCTGCAAGGGGAACATTCCACTTAAACATGAGGAAGAACTTGCTGACGGTAAGAGCTGTTCTGTAGTGGAATATGATGCCTTGGAATGTGATGGACTCTTTTTCTGCAGCAGAGACTGGATGGCTATCTGTCAGGAGTGTTTCAATTGGGTACTCCTGCACAGCAGCGGGCTGAACTGGGTGGCCCTCGTGGTCGATTATACAGGGTTAGTCAAAATGAATAGGCCAATAAGAAAATTAATTTTAGACGAATGTATGTTTACTGTAACCAAACCACAGCTACGTAGCGACAGATAAACAAAGTTTTTTTTGAGCAACACACATGTACATTAATGCCGCTAGGCGTCGCTAGGGGTCGCTGTTTTCAAAATGGCGGAATCAAGCAAAGAGAAGGCGTTTTGTGTGATGACATTTGCTAAAACAATGTCAGTAATTACGGTCCAGCGAGAATTTCAAGGGTTAGGGTTAGGGTTAGGGTTAGGGATAGGGTTAGGGTTAGGGTTAGGGTTAGGGTTAGGGATAGGGTTAGGGTTAGGTTAGGACCTCAACGAACACCTTCCCAGACGTTGCTGCATTCGATGCCATTACGTCGGATGTGCTGCAACGGATGTGGAATGAACTGGACTATCGCTTGGACATCTGCCGTGTCACACGGGGCGCCCATATCGAACATCTCTGAAGGTGAGACAAAACTTTGATAGTTTATCTGTCGCTACGTAGCTGTAGTTTGGTTACAATAAACATACATTCGTCTAAAATTAATTTTCTTATTGGCCTATTCATTTTGACTAACCCTGTATAATTTCCACCATCTGATTACAGAAGGTAGAGGCACCAGGCAGATAAAGTGAATGAGCATGGAGAGGGTAATTTGCTTGTGTATTCTGTTGAGTCTTCATCATTTTCTAAAACCAAAAGATGCATTGGCAATTTTAGTTGGACATGAACATAAAATATTTTGTAATATATAACCCAATCACACCCTCCTTCTGAGACTGCAAACTGCTTTAACATCTGTCTGCCCCACCTTTCCTGAGTTATATTTCAAAGTCTAGACTCATTAAGAAACACCTACATCTTCTATTCGGTCTCTGATCTCACCCATCAGGTGTTACTTCAGGCAAAGCCATAGTGTTAGGTCCGTTCGCAATTAGCGAGACAGCCAGACTCCACTAACAATGCATGTATGTTTTTCACTGCTGTTCCTGAATCTGATGCAATAATCTCCAAAATTACATACACTTTAAAATCTTTTGTGAACATGTCAGTTGGATTATTAAGAGCTGAAATTCTTTTAGGCAGTTCAACATCAGTTGCCTCCATTAAGAACATGCAGCTAATTGGATCACATTCCTACACAGAACCCCCATGACCATAGTCTAATATCAATTTGATAATACTGCCTTCGGATTTGCAGGATAGTTTATAATAAAAAATTCAAACAGACTATAGTGAGCTGGTATAGACAACGTGCTCAGGAAAACAGACCATCTTCTGAGATTAATATTTAGAATATAAACTAATATGTACAACATTACATACGATTTTGAGGGGGAAAAAATTCTGTCTAGCTGCTAAAATGTTGCTATAAATGTTACCATCTTATCCTGTTGCTCTTCTTTCCAAGATTTCACCCCCAACAAATAGGTAAAAGAAAAAAGCCACGAATGCAAGTCCACTATAATATGTTTATGTCTAGGTGACTGCCACTGTACCATGCAAATACTCTCTAGATGAGCCACTCATAAGACTTCAAATATTTATGGAAATTAATAAATATATTAAGAAGTGAGTGCGTCTAATACGTATAATCATATCTAGTCATAAATGTCAAATACTGCACAGATAGAAACATGACTAATAGCTGTGCCTGCGTATCCATCAGAGTTCAGTGTATACATATTTTTGCAAACTATTTATATAAACACAAAGGTAAATTGTCAGTAGTCATGTACATTTTTCCTTGTTAATTAATGCTGAAGGTTTTTCTCCTAAAGTTTAAAGCTATGATGCATTACAACTATGATCCTTCCACAATTCCTAACAGCTGGTAAGATCACTGGGATTTCTGGGAGTTGAAGTCCAAAACACCTGGAGGACCAGAGGTTGGGAACCACTGCAAGCTTGAAGACTAAAAGGCACCATCCTTTCAGCTTCTTCATAAATTCAGTAAAGATATCATTTAATTTGAGCTAGGAAAGGCTAGGTAATGCATAGTATCCAGTATTATTTATTATTTATTTTATTTATTTATTTACTTTACTTGTATACCGCTCTTCTCAGCCATTAGGCGACTCAGAGCGGTTAACAACCAGTATCAGCAATACAGTACAAAATCATGATAATTTAAAACAGTAATATCAATCAATTAACATCAACATCAATATAACAGTACAGAAAACAACAATCCATCACGTCTCYTCAATAGAATCAGCATCCGATCTTGTTGTCCATTAATCCATATTCCAGTAATCAATCAATTGTACTGCTTAGTTGAAAGCCTGTTCGAAGAGCCATTAAAATGATGTGATTTTGGTTACAGATTTCTTTGTGCAGTGCTATCAGTATGGAATTACCAAAGGCAATGCCTCYCCAGATTTTGGACATGATAGAATAGTGAATTACTCATCAATATGTTTCTTTGAAAAATGCTTGTTAGATCATTTCGTTTTGTTTGGGTGGCTGCTAAGGGATACCCAAAACGGGTAGAAACCAGTTTTCCTTCGTGTCTGGATAAGGAAGAAATTATGTAGGTMTGTTTTTACAAAGAGAGATTGCAGTTTGAGTCTGAGACTCAAAGTTGAGCCAAGGCTAAGTGATCATTTTAGGGTGTTGGTTCTCTTCCTGCAGTAGTGGTTCTCATCCCTTCTTTGGTCAAACACTTCCTTGTGCTTGTATATAATCTTCAAAGTAGCTGAAACTGAAGTGTGTGTGTGTGCGTGCACAAGTAGTTCATGGACCTTCTGAAGCTTACTAGATCCATAGACCACAGATCAAAAACTCCTGTTCTGTGTGATATAAGAACAGGGGGCTATATGCTGGCATGTCAAAATTGTGCTTACACTCATGACCAAAGATTAATATGTCCTCAATGACCCCTTCCAAAGGGAAGCATTGTTAAAACTGCCCCCACAGTATTTCAACACTTGGAAAAATGGGGTGAGTATAACAATATTAAATATCAGCCATGTGCCTCTGAACATGCACAGACTCGGATGTTTTCATATGGAATATGTACGGCAGAAATTAAAGCCAAACTCTATCCTTTTTGGAAATCAGTGGTTTTGAACTCTCTGAAAACACATACACCACATAGTAATAATAATATTTATACCCCACCCCCTCTTCTTGAAGGGACTTGGGGTGGCTTACAACAATCAACAGATACAGAAAATAATATAAGGAATAGGCAATAAACAACAATAAACAATTATCACTTCATACAATTAAAACCACAATAAATAATAATAAACTTTATTTATTACTAGCTGTCCCTTGCCATGCGTTGCTGTGGCCGAGTCTGGTGATCTGGAAAATAAAGTAAAAGTTGGTTTCTAATATATCTAATTTCTTTATTCTTGTGGGTAAACAGTATTTCTTGTTGTTTCTTTGTCAGTGTTGATGTGGAGAGTGTCTGGTTTGCCTACTCTGGAACATGAAACATATAATACTCCTTCTTTAGGGGTCCCTTTCAAATCTATGATACGATATCTATGTGTGTGTGTGAATCATATATATCTATATCTATGACTTGATGGCTCTTTGTCAGGAGGGCTTTGATTACGTTTTCTTGCCCTGATGAAGGGAGTTGGCAAATGGAGCATACGTACCAAATTTGGTCCAGATCCATCATTGTTTGAGTCCACAGTGCTGTCTGGATGTAGGTGAACTACAACTCCCAAACTCAAGGTCAATGCCCACCAAACCCTTCTAGTGTTTTCTGTTGGTTATGGGAGTCCTGTATGCCATGTTTGGTTCAGTTCCATCATTGGTGAAGGTCAGAATGCTCTTTTGATTGTAGGGGAACTATAAATCCCTGTAACTACAACTCCCAAATGTCAAGTCTATTTCCCCCAAACTCCATGTGTGTGCATATTTGGGCATTTGGAACATTCATGCCAAGTTTGGACCAGATCCATCATTGTTTGAGTCCACAGTGCTGTCTGGATGTAGGTGAACTACAACTCCCAAACTCAAGGTCAATGCCCACCAAACCCTTCTAGTGTTTTCTGTTGGTGGTGGGAGTCCTGTATGCCATGTTTGGTTCAATTCCATCATTGGTGGAGTTCAGAATACTCTTTGATTATAGGTGAACTATAAATCCCAGCTACTACAACTCCCAAATGACAAAATCAATTTTTTTGAGTGAAGGACATACATTGGGTTGTTAGGTGTCTTGTGTCCAAATTTGGTGTCCATTCGTCCAGTGGTTTTTGAGTTCTGTTAATCCCACAAACGAACATTACATTTTTATTTATATAGACAGATATGAGGAAATTGTATTTTCTCTTAGACCTGTGCATGCCAAGACCTGTACTTCTGCAATTTTCAGAGGTTATCCTAAAAAGTGTGGACGCCCCTTCAGCCACCCACGTGGAGGATCCTGGAATGTTTCGGATTTCCGGAGGGAGGGAGGGAGGGGGGGGGCAAAAAACCAAGAACCGCTCACCTCACCGTCTTGTTTGGGTCGCGCTGTGTCTCCGTCCAGGGCACTCCTGAAAGGGGTGGGGGCGGGCTTGGGCCGTCGTCGTGGCGATATGCTAATACCGCGCCCCCGCGCAGAGGTTCGGCCAATGGGGAGCGAGGGCGCGGTGGCGTCATGCTCGGCGCGCGTGACGCGCCTCGAGCCGGGGCGGGGCCGGGCGGACTGCTGTCGGGCCAGCGGGGGGTTTTAATGGCAAAAGTTGTGCGCGGAGTGGGAGCGCGCGCCGGCAGGTGAGGTGGCGGCGGGGGCGCGCGCGGCGTTGCCAGGGGCAACCCCGCTTGGGGCGAGGGCTCTTTGGGGCGGCGGGTGGGGAGAAGGCCCAGCAGCGCCTCAGTTGCGACAGCCGAAGAAGGGCTGGAGCCCGGGAATCCCTGGCCTGAGGGGAAGAAAGGCCTTCCCTTAGGCCAGTGATCCCCGAATTCCAGCCCCCCAGGTGTTTTTTGGACCCCCAACTCCCAGAAGCCTCAGCTGCCTCAGCCAGTGAGCAGGGATTCTGGGAACGAGTCCAAAATACCTGGAAGAGAAGAGTGTCCCCTCAGACAGCAGATCTGAGCTGACCTGAAAGGGCAATGCGCTAAGGGCGAATCTGTGAATGCCTCAACTGCCAGGTCTCAATACTCAATACTCTGTTTGACAGAGGAAGCTGAAGACCTTAGGAATGGTGGGAGTTGAAGTCCAAAACAGCTGGAGGGCCCAAGTTTGCTCATGCCCCTGCCGTGGCAGAGAAAGTGGCGCCAAACTGCAGTGATTCCACATTGCGGATGTACCCTAAAGCCCCTTCCACACAGCTGAATATAATCCCACATTATCTGCTTTGAACTGGAATATATGGGGAATCAGATAAGCCACTTCAAAGCAGATATTGAGGGATTTTCTGCCTTGATGTTCTGGGTTATATTGCTTTGTGGAAGGGCCCTTAGACAACATCGTCTGGGTTTGTATTTCAGTAGAGAGCGGGGTCAGATCTTATTTCTTCCCTGCCTCAGGCAGCAAAATATTTGGGGCAGGCACTCCACTTCGAAGGTCAACTTGGCAAATGATAGTAGTTGCCTGCATGCTGCCCTTCCAGGTAAGGACCTTCTTTGGAGGATTTTAAGGAGAGGCTGCATGACCATCTGTCGAGGGTACTTCGATTGTGTATTCCTGCATACTAGGGATGTGGATTGGATGGCCATTGTAATCATGTAGCGGGGGGGGGGGGGGGCTTGGGGGGCTTCAGCCCCCCCCCCCCAAATTCTCATGGTGGTTCCCGAAAAGGCCTTACTGGTGCATTATTTAAACTGTTATGTTTATTCATATCATGATCTGATCACCTACTCAATATATCCCATATGCATGGGGGTATTGGGGTAAGATACAAAAGGTTTGCTAGGGAGACCCTCTTTCACTCAGGAACTCAGCGCCCCCTGCCCCCCGTAAGGTTGTCTCGGCTGGGAAGACTTGAAGGCCAAAAAAAAAATAACCCCCCCCCCCCCGAATTGAAATCCTGGCTATTGGCCTGCTTCTAACTCTATGATAGGTTAGGGGTTATTCCTCCCTCTATTTACCTGCCTTCATTTCCTCTCTTGGAGGCATGTGGGAGGAATAGCTCTCTTTACTCTCTGTTTTCTGAAGTATTTTGTTGCTGTCGCCATGTGTGTGTTTTCTTTCTCAAAGAAGAACTTGCTAGGAAGAAAGAGCTATGGATTTGTCCAATGGCACAGGGTGGGTGGGAGAAGTTCACGTAATTTTTAAAGTATGTATTGTTTAATATGAACCAGCATGGTGTAGTGCTTTGAGTGTTGGACTGCAATTATGGGGACTGGGGTTCGAATCCCTGTTCGGCCATGAAACCCACTGGGTGACCTTGGGCAAGTCACACACACTCTGCTTCAGAGGAAGGCAAGGGCAAACTCCTTCTGAACAAATCTTCCCAGGAACACTCTGTGATAGGTGCACCTTAGGGTTGTCATAGGCTGGGAAAGACTTGAAGGCACACAACTGTTTGATAAAAATCCCAAATGAACAAAATCACTTTTCAAAAGACGTTAATTTTAGTAAAGTTTGACAGATGTATCATGCACATGCAAAGTCATTCATCAGCAGTCATGGGGAAAAGTTGATGTGATGATTCACAAAAGTAAAATAGAATTTGGTTTTTTAATCTCTTTGTTAATTCTCACTTGGTTTTTATTACTTTCATAGTTTACTCACTAAAACCAACCCCAAGCTCTGAACAGCAACAAAACTAAATACATTTATTTATTAATCGCGTCAGAAGCGAACTAAATAGATAAGGAGTATTCTTATGGGCTTTATCCTCAATAGTTCTTTATTAATGCTTCGTAATATATTTTAAACTAAGTTTGGTTATTCTCCTTTTGATGTAACAATTTGGAAATTATTAAGAAAAGTGATCTAAAAAAAGAGAAACAAAATACTTTGAAATTAGATACTTTTTTGTATTAAAGTCGCCCATTTGGTCATGATTTAGATATAGACTATTTTAATCTGATGTGGCATTCTGGAATTGAGAATGTTGCTGCTTTTGGACTGGGAATTAAGTGGGAAAAGCAGGTGGCTTTTCCAATTATGTAAAATGCTTCTTTTTAGGAATTGGAATGCTTTGAATGGGGCATGGAGGCTATTTCTGTAATAGGACTCCAAGGGAGGTTTATAGTTCATTTTTGACAGAAGCAGTAGGCATCCATTACCAGGCATATTGTTATTCCCTGCTTCACTTTTTCCGATGTGAGGAAACACGAATATTCCTCTATTACCTTTCTGAAATCCACCATCACAGACAGGAGGGATTTTGTGTTCTAATTTGGGAAGAATTGCTGTGCTGTTAGAAAAATCAGGTTAGATTAGCCATTGTCTGAGGTTTTGTTCAATCATTAGTGAGTTCTTTTGTCCTGCTGTGCTTTACTACTGCTTCATATATTATTGTAAAATAGAGAATGTGTTTAGAGCTGTTATTCATGACATATACATTTTGTTCCCATTGCACTTGTGCTTAAATAATTAAGATTGCAATTAAATAATTAAGACTGCAATCCTATACAGACAGTAAATAAATAAAATTAATACATTTAAAATTCCTCTGGATCCATTAGGACTTAATTATCTTCTATGTAAACATTTTAGCATTGCACTGTGAATGGTATAGATATGAGAGATATATTTTAAAATATTTATATGTTGAAAATAAAATTGATTCCAGAGCAGAAAATCTGTTCCCTGATAAAGTCCAATTTGTTCACCCCTCGTACATAGGTATCAGCCTTTCCTAATGCAGTCTTCTTTACCATGGGATATATGTCTACTGATATTGATGCACATCATTATGGTAAAGATTTCTAGAAGAATTGAAAGTTGCATCATTTCCTTGTTGAAATGATGCAAAAGTAGGAAATAATGCAAAAGAATAGGAAGAGTAGGAAGTAGGAAGTTAATAGTGTAGGGATGCTAGATTTGTCAACATACCATATATAATATATCAGTCAACTTCACGTATGTCAAGAGCAGTTTTGGGTTCAAAATTATGGATTTTGATATGATCCGTGGCAAACTCAAGTCATTCAACAGGGAGGGGAAAGCACCAATGCCAACTCAAGGGGCTAGCCTAAGCATTCAAAAAGGCAAGAAGCGGCACCATGGTGGAGAGAATAGAGGGGATGTGTGCTTCTTTTAGGACACTTCTCCTAGGACAGACTTACCTTTTGTTATTCTATTTATAAAGAAGAGGGTGGTTCATAAGGTACTGTACTCACATTGACAAAGGTTTTTATGGCTAATCTTTTAACTAAAATTTCTAGAAATATACATGAGTGGGTACATTTCTTTATGAGAAGATAATATTGTAATTGTGTATGTTTATATACACACTGATCAGGGTGAAGGGGACATTATGCAAGAACTAGTGAAGCCATAGGACAGCATTACTTAACACAGATAGTCCCCTAAAGTCATAATAGATCTTGAGATACACACACAACCTTAACTTTACCCTCTTTTGCTGATTATACTTAAACTACAGGTATTTGTTTCCTTCGTGCCTGTTCAAATCTAATTCATGGACATGTGCATGGCATAATTCCAGTAAACTGAAGTAGCCTCCAGTCATCAAAGGCTTTTAACTATACTATAGCTGCTAGAGTTACGCAAAAGTCTAGAGAAAAGGTCATCCACTCACTTACCATTACAGAATATATTCTAGTCTGCAACTGACTTTTAACAGGAATCAGTTGAGCAATAAAGGGGCACATCATTGTCTGTGTCTTGGGTCACAAGGGAATGAGTCAGGGACCAGAACCAAATAGTAGTTTAACCTCTTACTCACCCACATGAATGGCAGATTTACTGAACTTTCCCTTATTACATACTTTATCCATGTACTTCTGCTGGCTTTCTGCAGTCTGCATGGAACTGGCACAGAACAAGTAGGCAGGAAAATGGGGCAGTGCGTGGAAATAGACTTTTCAGATGTGCCCATCCCTTGTTTGAGGTAAGGTGCTTTATTGGCTCTGTGAATGTTTATGCTTTCCAAAGTTCCATTAAAGTCAAAACAATAAAAGGATAATTAGGAAGAAGAATCACTAACATCCATGCGCCTGTTTTCTTATGTGGGTCTTCCTTCTGTATGAGACACTTTTTGATTTGAAATTCTCATACTTTGAATAGGTGTTTCAATTCTGGTTTTTTTCTGAAAAAAACTGGGATCGTGTGGGAAATGTTCAGAAGTTACATGGACTTGATTCCTGTACTGCTGTCGCAAGCATTACTTTGTGCCAATACACAGATATGTAGTAGTGTGAGAGGTTTTAATGTGTTTTTCAGCCCAAATTATTTCCTACTTGGTGAACTAGGCACAATCTTTTTGCCATGCATGTGTAGCTAGGCTCAGATATGCTACCCCATTGCTAATACAAGTTGAATCTCCCTTATTCAGATTTTAGAAAAGCTCACAAAACTGAAACTTTTTGCTTCAACTTGCCTTCTTCGGGAAAGGGGAATAGTCACATATCCAGCACCCACTGAGTTTTTCAAAGAGTCTCTGCTGAACCACTGTCAGAAATTTGACAGCCAAAAGAGAAGAGGGGAATATAGGGAAAGACTCCACTTACATGAGGCTGTATAAAAATGGAAATGTTTCAGGGCTTATCTATGTTGTTGTTCATTCGTTCAGTCGTCTCCGACTCTTCGTGACCTCATGGACCAGCCTACGCCAGAGCTCCCTGTCGGCCGTTACCACCCCCAGCTCCCTCAAGGTCAGTCCAGTCACTTCAAGGATGCCATCCCATCCATCTTGCCCTTGGTCGGCCCCTCTTCCTTTTGCCTTCCAGTTTCCCCAGCATAATTGTCTTCTCTAGGCTTTCCTGTCTCCTCATGATGTGGCCAAAGTACTTCAACTTTGTCTCTAGTATCTTTCCCTCCAGTGAGCAGTCGGGCTTTATTTCCTGGAGGAATGGACTGGTTGGATCTTCTCGCAGTCCAAGGCACTCTCAGCACTTTCCTCCAACACCACAGCTCAAAAGCATCGATCTTCCTTCGCTCAGCCTTCCCTAAGGTCCAGCTCTCACATCCGTAGGTTACTACAGGGAATACCATGGCTTTGACTATGCGGATCTTTGTTGCCAGTGTGATGTCTCTACTCTTTACTATTTTATCGAGATTGGACATTGCTCTCCTCCCAAGAAGTAAGCGTCTTCTGATTTCCTGGCCACAGTCTGCATCTGCAGTAATTTTGCACCTAGAAATACAAAGTCTGTCACGGCCTCCAAGGTTTCTCCCTCTATTTTCCAGTTGTCAATCATTCTTGTTGCCATAATCTTGGTTTTTTTTGTTTAGCTGCAACCCGGCTTTTGCGCTTTCTTCTTTCACCTTGATTAGAAGGCTCCTCAGCTCCTCCTCGCTTTCGGCCATCAGAGTGGTGTCATCTGCATATCTTAGGTTGTTAATGTTTCTTCCAGCAATTTTCACCCCAGCTTTGCATTCATCAAGCCCCGCACATCGCATGATGTGTTCTGCATACAAGTTAAAAAGGTTGGGTGAGAGTAGCCTTGCCGTACGCCTTTCCCAATCTTGAACCAGTCTGTTGTTCCGTGGTCAGTTCTGACTGTTGCTACTTGGTCCTTGTACAGATTCCTCAGGAGAGAGACAAGTGGCTTGGGATGCCCATCCCACTAAGAACTTGCCACAATTTATTATGATCCACACAGTCAAAGGCTTTAGAATAGTCAATGAAGCAGAAGTAGATGTTTTTCTGAAACTCCCTGCCTTTCTCCATTATCCAGCGGATATTGGCAATCTGGTCTCTCGTTCCTCTGCCTTTTCTAAACCCAGCTTGACCATCTGGCAACTCTCGCTCCATGTATTGCTGGAGTCTTCCTTGCAGGATCTTGAGCATTACCTTACTGGCATGAGAAATAAGGGCCACTGTACGGAAGTTTGAGCAGTCTTTCGCATTTCCCCTTTTTTGTTATGGGGATATAAGTTGATTTTTTCCAGTCTGATGGCCATTCTTGTGTTTTCCATATTTGCTGGCATATGGCATGCATCACCTTGACAGCATCATCTTTTAAGATTTTAAACAGTTCAGCTGGGATCCCGTCGTCTCCTGCTGCTTTGTTGTTAGCAATGCTTCTTAAGGCCCATTCAACCTCACTCCTCAGGATGTCTGGTTCTAATTCATTCACCACACCGTCATAACTATCCTCAATATTATTATCCTTCCTATACAGATCTTCTGTATAGTCTCGCCACCTTCTCTTGATCTCTTCAGCTTCTGTTAGGTCCCTGCCATCTTTGTTTCTTATCATACCAATTTTTGCCTGAAATTTACCTCCAATGTTTCTAATTTTCTGGAAGAGGTCTCTTGTCCTTCCTATTCTGCTGTCTTCTTCCACTTCCATGCATTGCTTATTTAAAAATAGTTCCTTATCTCTTCTGGCTAACCTCTGGAATTGCGCATTTAACTGGGCATATCTCCCCTTTTCACTGTTTCCTTTTGCTTTCCTCCTTTCTTGGGCTACTTCCAGTGTCTCAGCAGACAACCATTTTGCCTTCTTGGTTTTCTTTTTCTTTGGAACGTACTTTGTTGTCGCCTCCTGAACAATGTCGCGGACTTCTGTCCATAGTTCTTCTGGGACTCTGTTTACTAAATCTAGTCCTTCAAATCTGTTCTTCACTTCCACTGTATATTCGCTAGGAATGTTAGTGAGATCATATCTAACTGGTCTGTGTATTTTCCCTGATCTCTTTAGTTTTATTCTAAATTGGGCAATAAGAAGTTCGTGATCTGAGCTACAGTCAGCCCCAGGTCTTGTTTTCACCGACTGAATGGATGTCCGCCACCTTTGGCTGCAAAGGATGTAGTCAATCTGATTTCGGTGTTGACCATCTGGTGAGGTCCATGTATAAAGCCGTCTTTTAGGTTGTTGGAAGAGAGTATTCGTTATACACAGCGAGTTTTCCTGGCAAAATTCTATCAGCCTGCGTCCCGCTTCATTTTTTTCTCCCAGACCATGCTTGCCTGTGATCCCAGTTGTCATTTGACTTCCCACCTTGGCATTCCAGTCTCCTGTAATGAAAATAATGTCTCTTTTTGGTGTATTATCCAGTAGGTTCCTGCAGATCCTCATAGAACTGATCTACTTCTGCTTCTTCAGCAGCTGTGGTTGGGGCAGTATATTTGGATCACTGTAATGTTGAAAGGCTTTCCTTGCACTCGAATTGAGATCATTCTGTCATTTTTTTGGTTGTATCCAAGCACCGCTTTAGCGAATTTCTTATTAATTATGAAGGCTACTCCATTTCTTCGATGTTCCTCTTGTCCGCTGTAGTAGATCTGGTGGTCATCTGATGTGAAGTGGCAGCTCCAAACTGATTCAAAACTGTGGGGACCACAAAACACATGCTGCCAAAGCATGCTGTAACACAGATGAAAGCGTATACAGCACGTTTAAGAAAGTTGCAGGGAAGTCTGAATTATGCCCTTTAAGGTGCTGCAGCAGATCTCATAGTTTCCCAGGGAGAAATTGGTTCCACAGAATGTGGAGCGCATTGTAGACATCTGCACTTGCTAAGGTACTTTGTAGTATTTGGAATGGCTGGCTTGCAGTGACCTTCTGAGAGAGGCAATTGATTACCTCTACTGCTAACTATCACTTCCCCTATTTTTTTCTACCCCCTATGCCTCTGGAGTGTTGGTATGCATCTCTACTGGAAATGGGTAAAAAACGCACAAAATGGGTTACAGCCAGGTTCTGTAATCAACTTCCTGATCTCAAACCAGATCTGGTTCTTCCAAAACCTGTTCCAAGCTGCATTATAGTGTCAATGTGGATGTTCCTCCTGATGCTTCCATACTCCCATTTCACATGTAGAGTTTGTGTATGTGTTTTAATGGATAAAGGAGCCCCCGGTGGCGCAGTGGGTTAAACCCCTGTGCCAGCAGGACTGAAGACCGACAGGTTGCAGGTTCGAATACGGGGAGAGGTGGATGAGCTCCCTCTATCAGCTCCAGCTCCTCATTCGGGGACATGAGAGAAGCCTCCCACAAGGATGATAAAACATCAAATCATCCGAGTGTCCCCTGGGCAGCGTCCTTGCAGACGTTGTCTCTCACACCAGAAGCGACTTGCAGTTTCTCAGACTGCTCCTGACACGACAAAAAAAAGGGATAAAGTGATTATAGTAGATCCTTCTGGTGTTGGTGGCTGTAACTACAGAGGAAAGGATAGATGTTCATTTTACTTTTTGTCTTTCAGTGTCCAGCTAGGATATTATGTCCCAGATTTTTGTGATGCTAGTAAGATTGAAATCTTCAGGATACAATAATTGAGACTACCGTGTTTATGTCCCATGTTGTTAAAAGTTTTCACATCTAATCAAATCAAAAATCAGCCTTTTCCAAGCTGTTTTTTTATTAATCTTGTATCATGTCTTTGATATAAAAATAGATTATTACTGCGGCTCTTATCCAATCAAAAGCTTTTCAATGGGTTGTTTGATATTAAAGTATAGTGTAGGCTTATAAATAACTACTTGCTTGTCTGTGACAGATAATAGTTACTGCCAGTCTAGAGAAATTAGTGTAAATTTAATAAACGTTTTCTCTTTCACTTGACTGTTAATATACCACAAAAACTTCATACAAGGGATAAAGGATGGCAGAATTTAATTACAAATAAAAAGTTGGTGAATGTGGATGGATTAATTTGGTTGCAATCATGTATTGAATTATTTGGCTGTATGTCCATTGCACTCAGTGGAATTTGCTTCTAAATAGAAATGTGTAGGATTCCACAGTTAAAACATCAACCCATACCCTCTTTTCTAAGTAAGCCTGACTTAGTTCATCTGAATTAGCTGAAAAAATTCTTAAGATCATCTAAGCACCATGATAAAAAAAAAATTGTGAAAGACTCGAGCCTTCTCTTACTATAGAGAGAATTCAGCTATGTGGCCTAGAGGGGCATAGGTGAAGTAGAATTCTAACCCTACATACTTTTACTTGGAAATAAGCCCACTGAGTAGAATCTCCTTCCAGGGAAGTGTACTTGCATTTGAAGCCTTGGCTTTTTATTCCATGTTTTCCTCCCAGTGATGCTTTTGCATGGAATGAAAATATGTTTTGCTCTTTTGCAGTTCTCTTTCACCTGGGACTTCCATTATGCTGACATGGTAGCTACAAGGTGGCCCTTGCCAAAAGGTGAACAGGAACATCGGCTCCAAAAAGGTAATTACACCTTTTAAAAGGATTTTTTTTGCAATAAAATTAGAATTTCAGTTTGAAACTTATACATGTATTTGTATATGCACTGGATGGTTCTCAGTACAGTGCAGTACTACAAGCAGGATGATTGACATGCTGAGATCCTGTATTGGAAGATATATTGTAAAGTTTCACTTTTAGCTGAAATATGAGATGTCTCTCCTCCCATTTATTTATTTATTTGCAGTATTTGTATTCCGCCCTTCTCACCATGCAGGGGACTCAGGGCGGATTACAATGTACATATACATGGCAAACATTCAATGCCATAGACGCACAACATATATAGACAGACACTCAGAGGCTATTAACTTTACAGTTTCTGGCCACTAGAGGAGCTGTTGCTTCCTCATTCTTTGCATACTTGCATACTTCCTGGAGATTTTTTATGGCCTCGTAAATCAGTTTAGCCTCCCCACAAAGTGGTACCTAATTTTCCTACTTGACAGATGCAACTGTTTTTCGGGTTGCAAAGGTTGACAGCAAGCTACACAATTTTGGTTGGGAGCTCACTCCGACCTGGGTTGGCTTCAAACTCACGACCTTTCGGTCAGTAAAGTAAAGACTTTTTGTATATATTTCAAATTTCAATATTAATGTCAAAAATACGTAGTTTGATTTTACATAGGATTTGTGCTACATTAGAACAGTAAAGACAAATATCACGTAAGTAAAATAAACATTAAATATTAAATAACCAGAAAAATAAAATAAGGTGTAAACGCTATAGGATCCACTTCCCTCTTCTGTCTCTTCTTGATCAGTTATTGGCCTGTGGAGGGCGGAGAGTGGCTGAAACCTATCTGGCAATTGACTACAGCAAGACACACAGCAACAGTATCATCCTTCCCTAGAAGGTCCTGGAAGATGCCTTCAGCATTGTACATATGATTACAGTCACAGAGACAGACACTTATAAGCCAAGTACTACTTTCCACAATTTGCTAAATGGCTGAGGGGTTGGTGAACACAACATGAAATAGGCTGGCTGGTGGAGGGTTGGTCAATATTCGAGGAAAGTAGAGAATTCCTTTCTCTACAATAACCAGAGCAACAAAAAAGCAGGCATATACCCACATATGTTACTAACAGGATGCCAGGACCGGGACTGTGGCACAGCTGGTTGCAGTTAGCTGCATTAAGATCACTACTAACAGGATGCCAGCCCCATTCTTTTAACATTTGTATGTGAGATACGTTTGCGCAGCTGAAATATGATGCATTGGAATCCTGTGAATCTACTTAACTTATCTCTGAAGTGTTAACTTTAAAATATAATGATATATCAGTGGGTGGATGTCAATGTACTGTTCGAGTGTGCATGTCAGAATACTACTGGATATCCTGCATGGGAATATGAGAAAAAGTGTTGAGTGATAAATTGTCACCAATTATTTTAAAGTTCTTCTTCTCTATGCATTATTTTGGTAAGATCTCTGTTTAAACATAAGAATCATTGGAAACCAAATTAGTTTCCTGTGACTGTGATTTCTGACAATACTTCATAGAATATTGAAGTAGTATTTCCGTTTTGCAAATCCTTTACACCAAGTACTGTGTAATGACACTTCAAACAAAACAATTTTGACGTAATTTGTAAATTTATTGTAACTTGTTCTTAGAAGACTTAACTGACTTGTACACTTTTGCTATCACTTTCTCCAGCACTTTGGCTGAAAGAAGTTCAAACTGCAAGATGTGTATTTCCTCGTTTTTAGAATCTGTCTTGTGGTATATACATCCCTTCTGCAAATGTTTAAAAAATGAACATTCAGTATTTCAATAGTTCTGTTTAAATATATATGACATTTCCACAATAGCAGTTAGACACTTCGGTAATGAAGTTAAGTAGTATCTTTGGAAGGAGCCAGCAACTGCGTTTTCCTGGAATTATGTTGCGTTATGATTTCCTATCCCTTATGTTGCTCTTGTTGTTTCCATGACGACTGAAGACTCACAGCATTAGATTGGTGTTGTCATTCTGTACCATAGGAAGAGTGGCTGGGCTAAAGCAGTACAGCTGAAACTTAAGGATAGCCCATTTAGCTTAGCAAAAATCCTGCCTTTAGCGTGCTGCTAAGATTCCTCACTGTCGACACATTATTTTTTGGTACAGTGGTTCAGTTGCATTAAACCTCCTTTTGGCATGATTTTGGGTTTGAATTACAGATTAGAATTCTGTGGGAGTTCTTTGGAATTAGGAGTAAGGAGTTCGTTTAATTGCAGCTATTTGCTGTCTAGTTGGCATGATATCATCATACTGGAAAAAATGTTAGTTTGCAATGTTTTCATTAGTGCATTCTGAATCACATTTGTATTTGTACATAAGAGCTTGTACTGAAACATCATGAGATTTAGGATTTCCTTAGTAACTTTGAGTGACAACTCAACATTACAAAATATTTTGCTTTCCATTGCATTATTACAGATTGATTATCTCTTATCAGGAATTTTGAAACCTAAAATATCCACATATGTGGCTAAGACAGTGATATATTTGATTTGCAATGGTTTAATGTTAACTTTGTTTCATTGACAAAATTATTAAAAGTACAATGGAACCTCTACTTAAGAGCAACCCAATTTAAAAGCATTTTGAGTTAAGCACTATTGCTTGGCCTGGGTTTCACTTTGACATAGAAGCAGCATTTTCAGTTAAGATCTAGAGAGAGAGAGTGAGAGTGAGTGAGTGAGTACAGGGCTTTAGGGCTTCAAGGGAGCCGCCTCTGTGCCCCATGTCTCATGCTCTTGTTTGCTTAGGAAAATCACTGTCTGCTTTGAGGAAGTTTGGGTTAGTTCATTTGTTCTCAACCTGTGGTGTTTTGGCCTACAACTCCCAGAAATCCCAGCCAGTTCACCTGCTGTTAGGATTTCTGGGAGTTGGCTAAAACATCTGGGGACCAGAACCAGGTTGAGAACCAGTGGGCTAGTTGATTTTGTGTGGCTTTTATTCCTAGTGTGTTTGGCTTCATGAAGAGAGAGAGGGAGGCTGGGATGACTACAGTATGAAGAAAATGATACTTCTGCCTCTTCACTTTGTGTTTTGTTTTTCCTTGTCATAACTTTGTACTTTTACCATTGTGCCACAACTTTGTGCTTTTACCATTTTAAAGTTTATTTTTCTTTTTTTATTGTGCCATGTAAATGTGTGGGTTTTACCTTGCTTTTATACTGACCAACACACATTTTGTTTCCTCAAATGTGCTTCCTTGCCACAACGCTGTGCTTCTAATATTTTAAAGTTGACCTTTTTATTATTCCATGTGAATGTGCATTTATACATTATTTGTTGTTTATAAAGTAAATTTTATTATTTAGAAATACATAACAAAAAATTGGGGAAGGGAGTTTTGGGGTCCCGGAATAGATTAATAGCATTTCAATGCGTTTAATGGGAAAATTCTCTTTTGAGATAAGAGCATTTTAAGTTAAGAGTTGTTTAACAAATGAATGTCATGTTTAGACCTGAGTCCCATCTCCAAGATATCTTCTGATATACATAAAGGCAAATTGGGGTATTCCAAAATCTGGAAAAGTCCAAAATCCCAATCCTGATTAGTTTACTTAAGGATTGCCTGAAATCAGAGATTACTTGAAGGGTATGCAAGAACAGCAACAATGTGAAAGCAGAAAGTTCCATAATCCATGTGTCAGATTTCAAAGCTTTCTTCTTATGGTACTTAGAATCTTTTGTATGTATTAGTCTTAACTATTGTTAATGAAACAGTTTGGAATATCATTATTGTTTGATTGTGTTTGTGTGATTATTTAGCCATGGGAAAACAAAGCAAAATAATATTTCCTTACAGAGAGAAAATGAGTAAGTCAAGGAGAAAGCCACGTTAGACTGACACAGGAAATGCAGCTAGTCCCAGAGTGACCAGGGGCAAATTATAGACATTGCATGTGAGTGAGTGTAATACAATTCTAACAAGTTTTTTGGAAGGACTTTTTAAATACACCGAAGTCTCTTGAGATAATTCGACTGGAAGAATGGAAAGATAAATAGAGAGCTGTACTCTTTCCCTATCAGCTGATCTTATTCTTATAGAAAAGGTCTGTGTTGAGCATTGTGAATCAGTCACTCAGATTATTTGATTGTATCTTTCAATATTTCTTATTTGAAAACAACTGTTACATGTAAAGGGGGATAGTTTAAATAATACTAACAAAATGTACAGTTAGTTAAAGTACCTTCCAGAACACAGTAGTTTTTGTTTTTTTTCTAAAATCCTAATAATCATAATATTTGGCTTAGCTGCCAGAGTCAACTATATATTACACAAAAAAGTATGATTGGTAATTTCCCCCAACATTTCATTTTTCATAAATGCAGCTCTGCAGTGATGTAATGGGAGATGTCCTAAAGCTTTACAATCTGAATCTAGTGAAGCCTGCTGTAGCTCTGCAAAAAGAAAATAGCAGTGGCTTTGATTAGGGGAAATGCCATGGAAAGAGGGGAGAGTTAATACTTCCCCCAAATGTCACTATATCTCCTACACCCCTATAGTGGTTGCATTTTATTTCCAGAATAATATGTAAAGTGACAGGTCAAGGATGAGCCCTGTCTACATCTGCATGCAGCTTCCAAGGTATGCTTGTGCACTATGTAGTATATTTCACAATTTGTAGTAAAGTATTCTCTAGCAGCAGCAGTCAGGGAAATGACTGCATTTTCCCTATCCAGCAGGGCACTAACCTTTTCTTCATCCCCAAGTCTTAGAGTACAACCTTGTGAAGGAAATCCTTAACTCTAATAAGTAAATTTATCAGATTTGGCCAAAATGACAAAGCTGTCTTTGACTTACATATTCTATCTTCTGCAACAACCAGATACAAGATGGCTAGACTGTGCTAGTCCAGGTTTCTCTTTCCCAGGACTTGTTACAGATTTGAGGGCAGGCCCGTAGCCAGGATTTCGATTCGGGGGGGAGGGGGTGTGTGTGAGTTTTTTTTCGGGGGGG